GGGCAGAAGGGATCGTGTGTTGCTTGCAGCGATAGGTATCCATGTGCTCTTTCCAGCATGGTCCGTCTTGGAGTACGGAATGAGGATCCACATGACCTCATCATCGAACTGGATGTCTTGCCACTCGATGGCGACGAGGTCCGAATATCGCAGGAAACCGGAACACATGAGAATGGGGATGAGTCCTTTCTAGAATTCCCCGGGGTTGTCAGATTGCAGGTATCCAGCAGACATGTCACGAACTTGTTGCGGCGAGACGGGCTCCTTCACTCTCGTGGGGCGAAGACAGTGCCTTTTTGCGAAGTCGCGTACTTGAGTGGTGAATGGTCCTGCCGTTGGGCATGCGCTCCCGGTCATGCGGTGGGCGAAGCTCACGGCTGAGCATGTAAGTTGTACCATGGATAGGGTGGCTTTGCGTTTGATGGCGTACACCAAGTACAGTGCGAGGGTCATGTCCGCCGCGGGGAGGAATTGGAGGTTCACCTTTGCACAGAAGGCTGGAACCTTGACCCAGTATGGCTCGTATGTTTGGATCGTTGAGTCAGCGCGAGTTTGTGAGAGCATCTTTAGAAGCTGGACTTGTAGCTTTGGCAGTACGTCTGCGCGAATGAGGACGAGATGTGTTAGTTGAAGACCACTCGTAATGCGACGATTGTACTATGAGGCAATCCTGTGCCTGGGAAAGCGGTGCGGTGCGTTCCTACTGCTAAACATTGGCTGCCGTGCGTCAGGAAAATGTGCGCTTAAATGTGCGGGGCCCAGCTAGGTGGGAAGGGTTGTAGGAGTGGCCACCAGGTTGCCCCTGTCCAGTGTGGGATAACGAGGGTGATTGATGCGTGGGTGCGTTGTGCATGGTGGATGACTGCTGGGATTAACTGGGGTGGCGGGAACGCGAAGCCATTCTCGGTCAACCATGAAATCGAGAATGCGTCAATTGCAGTGGCCCCCGGGTGTGGTATCCTTGAGCAAAAACGTGGCAGCTGCGAGTTGTTTGGGCTCGCGAAGAGGTCGATTGAGTGAGGTCCCCAGCGACGATTGAGGATGCAGAACCATGGTTGTTTCAAACAGTAGTTGTCGTGGTCGATCATCTTGGACAGCTCATCGGCATGGGAGTTTAGCTCGGGCGGGATCCATTCGACAATTAATCGAGTGCCGAGCTCCATGCATGTGCGGATGATGTCCTTGCAAGCGGTGGTGAGGTCAGGGGTGCGAGAGCCGCCTTTGCAAAGGATGAAAAAGACCCCTTGGTTGTCCACCCTCACGAGCACGTGCTTGTGCTGAACCTTGTTCGCGTACGTTCGAAGGGCCCAAAGGACGCCTTCCATTTCCCTCCGCGTGCTGGACGTTATGTGCAGTGGTTCTGGCATGGCTGCGCTTGCTTCCTCGAGTTCACCAGGGAAGGTGAGCAGGGTGGCACCCCAACTATGGGAGCTGGCGTCCACGTCAATTACCGCGTCGTAACTGTTCCGGAAGTGGAATGGTGCGCCATTGAATTTGTCAAACTCTTCAAGCCAGAACTGCAACTCTTCAGCAACAGGTGGGGAATTGCTCATGCTGCTTCCCCAGGATGGCGCATCGTTTATTGCTTGTAGCATGGCGTGGCTGAATGCACGAGTCGTGGCGCCGAGTGCGATGGCTATCGATGCGAGTGTGCCGGTGACTCTGGCCAGGTGGCGGACTGGAACTTGTCGGCGCGCTTTGCTTGCGCCCAGTAGGCTCCGAATATGTGCGTGCAGTGATGCCCGTCAATCGGCGCCGATGGAGAACTGTCCGGATTTGGTGTCCAGCTCGACGCCCAAGAATCGCAGATGTTGTGACGGTAAAAGCTGCGATTTTTTCGCGTTAATCACCAAGCCCGCCAGCTTAAGGTCCGAAATTATCTGCTGGCATGTTGCTTGTGCGTGAGCCTTGGACGTGCATAAGAACAGGATATCGTCCACATAGGGTATCACTCGAACGCCTTGTTCACGCCAGCGCCTGGCTAGTTGCTTAATGAGCTGTGTGAAGACAAATGGTGCTGTGGCGAGGCCGAAGGGTAATGAACGGAAAGAGTACGTGCGCCCTTCAAATGCGAAGCCAAGGAATTTCCAGCAAGAGTTGTGTATGTCAATTTGGTGGTATCCTGACTTGAGGTCGATAGAGAACATCCATTCTCCCATGCGTGCCAGGTCGGCCACACGGCTTAGGCCTTCGAATTTGAATTTCGGGATGATCAGGTGCGCGTTCACTTTCCTGAGGTCGAGGATTAGCCTGCATTTCTCTCGTTGCTCAACCACATTTAGTGGGCTTATACATGTGAGCTCCGCTGCTGGAGTGACTACCGTTGCGCTAGTCTCTGTAAGTTCGCAAATGGCAGTGCGTGTGAACGCAGCGTGTGTGTGCGCCCCGAGATGGTTGCGCTCGTGAAATGGTTGTGGTGGGTTGTGGCTCCATGGCAGCCAGTAACCGTTAGCGATGACAGAGAGGATGAGGCTGCTGGGGCACCACGAGCTCCACCATGCAAGGGTTGCGCGAAGCCGCCCGCGCATTTGCGTGACCGATTTTTCAGTGACGCATAGGGCCAGTGCACTTTGCTAATGCCTATCATTCTCTCTCTCTCTCTCTCTCTCTCTCTCTCTCTCTCTCTCTCTCTCTCTCTCTCTCTCTCTCTCTCTCTCTCTCTCTCTCAAGTAGTCATGTATTGATAGTGGTCACGAGGTACAGACATGGCAGGAGATGGTTGCAGCTAGTTTGTTTAAGCCTGTAGGCAAGCAGGAACCTAAGAACCAACAAACGGAACATGCAAGCAAACAAGCAAGAAAATGGGCAAGCAAGGCAAGCAGTGCAGGCCGAGCATGCATGCCGTGTGTGTATGGTCCAGTCCCCTATCATTGTAACAGGTCGGCCAGCCAGCAGCAGAGCCAAACCCCGAATACCTCCCTCTCATCTGTCCTGTGGCTCCCTCGACCCTACCCGAGTCCCTCTGCCCCCTGCAGCTTCCCCTCACTTTCCTTCCGTCGCCATCTTTTCCCTCCTGTCCCTCTAAGCCGCCCTGGCAGGAGCCTCCCGCTCCTCATACTCATCCTCCACCATCTGCCAGAGGTCCCCTAGCCGTGGGGCCCAGGGGTCCCCCGCAGCCTGCGGGAATGCCGCTTCGGCTGCTCGGTTGGACTTAGAGAGGAGTGAGATGGCTTGGCTGCGCTGCAGCATCACCGACCACCTCTGTCGGTAGTGTGCAGTGAGCCGAGCAGCAGTTGTTGTGAGGCGCCCCTGTCTGAACTTCGTCCTTGCCGCGTGGGTAGCTAGCATGCGAAGGAACTGGACTGTGTCGGCCGCCATGGCCCCGTAGGTCTCGACAGCCAGTCCAAAGAATCCGGCATAGGTGGGGCGCCCTTCATATAGCCGATGCTTCCTCTGTGAGGCTTCCTCCGCGGCCCACCCAGGCGGCCTGCGGGCCCTGCTGTCTCTGTTCTGTAATACTGGGTCCGTCACGGTGACATCCGTCACCCATGTCTCCCCTGACTCCTGGTCCCGTATCGCTAGGTCTGCCCGTTTCCTGAGGACTGGTGGCGAGAACGCTGAGGTCTCATGAAACATTTTGTAGCCCGCTTCATTAGCCATCCGCAGCGCCGCATAGACTAGGGCATTGTGGGTTCTGACGGCATCACCCCCGTCCTGGCAGCGCAGCAGGTGGTTCGGCAAAATCTTGTCCCCGATCGCCGAGTAGTCACGTTTGCACGGGCACACGTCAGCTACCGGCAACTCCATGCCCAAGCGTAGGCCCAGGGCCAACGAGAACTGACCAGGGGAAATAGAGAGGTCAGCTCTCGTCGGTACCGCGTGTAGCCAGTCGCCCGCGCCAGTCCCTCTCAAGCTTATCAGTCTCAGCGCGTGACCTCTGTTGGTGCCAGGCCTGTCCACCACCGTGTCCCCCAGGAGCTCGACTGCCCGCTGCTGATTGATGATTTTGGAGAGGCACAGCTGGAGGCTGCCTGTGCCCTTGTTCCCCGTCCTGTAGGCTCCCAGCGCCACCTGTGCCTGAGCTGGCAGCCCCTCCTCTAAGCTTGACAGTGTGCTGCTGTCCGGCGGTGGTGGGCTCCAATCGTGGGAGAGCAGGGCCGTTGCTCTGTGTAGCAGGCAGTCCGGGGGAAGATTCAGGTGCTGGAGAAGGCTGTGCGCTGCCGTGACAGAAGCGATGTAGGCAGCCGGGGCCTCCGAGACAGGGTCAATGATTCCTAGATCGCCCAGCCGAATCGGGAGGGTAGCCTGTCGCCACAGTAAGCTCTGCTCCAGCTCCGAGTTGGGGATGCGGAGCTTTGCAGCCGTGAGCGCCGAGCCAACCAATGCCTCACTCCAGTCCCTCCATTCCTCAGTGCCCAGGGTCGTCGCCGGCGTCGTCCTCAGCATGTATGAGATGCGCCGGGAGATGCTGCGGGAGACTATGAGCATGGCATGTTGCGGGTTGAGCTGAGAGACAAGAGGAAGGGGCGAGGCAGCTTCCCCCAGTGCCGCCCGGACTTGGGCGGTGCAGAAGTCGTCGCTGCCGATAGGGCTGCCAAGGACTCGTATCCCGCCCGGGTCCGCCACCAAGCCTAGTGGTAGCTCCTCGTTATCTCCGTCGTGCGCAGCTCCCCACGCCGATGACTTTGAAATGTTGCAGCTTAGTCCATATTCGGCCAAGTCGCCTGCTATCTTGGTGAAGGCACGGCACGCTGCTTCCCGTTGGCCGATAATGGTGATGTCGTCCGCATAGGCTACCACTGCTACTTCCGGTGTTGTCGCCGAGGCACTCAAGAGGGCCGGCTGGATCGCTTCCGCGAACAAGAGAGGGCCCAAGGGATCTCCCTGTCTGACGCCGCGTGAGCTCATGATTTGTTCCACTCCCAGTCGAGCATCGACGAGCAATGGCGATGGACCATCGTACAGGTTACGGACAAGGGGAAGTAGCGGGCTCAGGTTGGACCACTGCAGCGAGCCTAGGAAAGCCCGTCGCTCGACACTGTTAAAGGCGTTTTCGACGTCTAGCTGGAGGGCAATGCGGGTCTTGTCCTCGCGGAGTAGAGAGCGGACGGTGTGGATGTTGCACTCCGCACCTCCTGGAACTGCCACGCCAAACTGAAATGGTAGGAAAAAGTCCCTAATCTTGGGCCCTAGGGTATGCAGCGCCGCCTTCGCTACTATGCGTAGCAGGGTTTCGCGTATCGCTATAGGCCGCACTCCCCCATTCGGCTTCTCTAGAGCGATCAGACGGGACGGCAGTAGCAATTTCCTTACGTGGGAGGCCTGGAAAATGCTGAGCAGCCAATTTACCATCTTGGCGAAAAGCAGCAGCAGCTCTTCGTTGGCTAGGGCGGGGTCTCTGAGGTGTTCAAAACACGTACCAGAGGGTCCCGCTCCCACACCATTCGGACACTTCGCCAGAATTTCGCGAAGCGTATCCGGCGAAACCGCCAATTCGGACTCTGTGATTCCGGAAACCCACGCTGGTATCTGACTACCCGCTGCAGGGTGTTTCGCTTGCAGAGCTTCAAGTGTAGCCGGGGATGTTTCAGCTAGGGGGCACGTTCGCAGAGCTGCTACTGCTTTCGAGATGTTTCCTTTTTTCACTAACCCCTCCGCTCGCGCACAAACCCCTTCCTCGTCAGGCTGGTGCCGTACCGGGGCTCCTGTGTCGGGGATGACTCCCGCTTCCTCGAAGAGCTCGGACCAGTCACCTCGTTGGAATTTGTGCAGCCTGGCTTCAATTGCTGCCCAGCGACTCCCCAAGACAGGTTCGGGCGTAGGCATGAGGGTGAGCCTCGGAAGGAACAGCAGCACCATCCAACCACCTGGGCAGCTGGGATTTTTATCTAGGCGAAGGAGTGCTGCCAGCATGCACAGACCGTATCTGTCCAGGAGGTGTGGTGGCAGCCGGCGGACGAGGAATGGCTGGTCCCCCCGCTGAAGCACGTTGACATCCCACTCCCCCGCCATGTGCCAGATGGCGTCATCGCCTGCCAGGTCGGCCGGTGAAGGCACATCAGTCTCCTTCGTGGCAGGTGCTCCTCCTTCAGCTGGGTTGCTGGGAATACCCCCCGCCGCCTCCGCCTCCCCGGTTTGGGGTTCAGGGTTGTTCCTCCTCCTGGGTGCCTCCTCGTCTTCCAACGAGATTTCTTCCGAGGTCTCCTCCTCCCCAGCCATAAATTCTGGATCGGCCCCGGGGTTGTCATAAACCTCTTGTCCCTCATTCGTCTGCAGGATCATCCTCTCAGGCCTGGCGTGACGCTCCCGCCAGGGACCAGTCCTCACGGGGATTTCCGATCTGGGTGGTTGGTTGCGCCCTCCCCTTCCGCCTCTCATCCCCCCGCGCAAAACCCCTCGTTGTCCCCGCCCAGCCGCTCCCGCCGTTTCCGCCGCTCCGTTGCCACCGCGGCCCGCCGGCATCCACGGCGTGCGGCCACCCCGTGGTGGTCCCCAGGTTATCGCTCCCAGCCGTGCCGACCGCCTGGTCCCTACAGCCGCTGCCGCTATGTTCGTGCCTGCTGCTGCCGCTGTTGTACCTGTCACCGCCGGCGCCTCATTGGTGGCGCGGACTTGGTTTCCCGGCGCCTGCGTCGGCGCAGCCTGCGTCGTTGTCTGCGCGGTGGAATTCGCCACAGACGCTCCGACGTGAGATGGCGACGGATGCGCTGGCACTTGTGGCGACTGCCCTTGCAGCAGCCAGCCCAGGAGGGGTCCCGGGACGCCAGGCCCAGCCCTGCTCCGGGCCGCCTCGGTGCTGGCTGGGCGCGGAGCTTCTTCCCGCGAGCAGCGCAAGCAGCGACGCCAGTCCCGGGAACCGGTCTACCACTCCCCGCCCGGCCGTGCCCCTGCCTGTTTGCGCCCACGGCAGCGACAGAGGTTCCGGCGGACTCAGCGGCACGCGGCGCCGTCTCTGCGTTCGGCGGTAATTGCTGTCGCCTCCCTGCCTCAGCCACGACCGCAGCAACCTCAGCCGTCCCGAGCGGTGACGGGGATGCAGCCAACTCCGGTAACGTCTGACACTCCTCCGCGGCCCGACCCCCGCCCACAAGTAGCGGCGGCTCAGTCGGGCGCACCACAGCGGGCGAAGTTAAGCCGTCGTCAGAGGCGGCAGCAGTCTCGGCAGCAGACACTCCCCCCGCCGTCCCAGCCGTTTGTGTCCCCTCCCGCGCCGTCCTCGTCACCTCAGCCGCAGCAGCCACGTCAGCCTCCTCCAGCAGCGCCGCTGCCCCGGGCTCAGCAGCATCAGCAGCCGCCGCCAAATCAGTTTCCGCTGCCCCAGCCTCAGCTGCATCAGCCGCCAACTCCCCAGGTACAACTGTTCCCTCCCGTCCCGCCAGCCCCTCGTGCTTGTGAAAGTAGTAAGCATAGTTAGGAGCCATAGCTAGGTAAGCCCTAGCTAGGCAAGAGAAAGTTTAGGCAAAGGAGGGGTGCACTAGCAAGAATGGGGATACAAATAGGAAACCCTAGAAGGGTTGTACTCGCTATAGAGCACCCCACTACAGGCTAGAGCATAAGATAACATTCTGACACACCCCCATAGCCAAAGTGGGGTGTAATCAGCAGAGTAAGCAAAGGAGTACAAGCTCAGGGTGGATCACAATGTCACCACACATTCTGAGCACAAGTTCAAGAAGCAATAGTTTAAGTTCACAATTATGAGCAAAGCTAGTGGTAGTCACAACGGGCAAGTGAGGAGGGGGAGAGAGAGTGAGAGGAGAGGAGATAGGAGGCGACGGCTGAAGCTGCAGACACTCGGGCAACAGGAGGCAGACTGGCACAGCGGCTACCGGACGAAGTCCCCGGAATACAGGAGTAACAGGCCCCGCGGCTAAAGTAGCGGCAGACGAGCAACGGACCCACGGGCGGCTGGCACAGCTGGCTACGACTGGGCTACCGGACGAAGTCCCCGGAATACAGGTGCTGCTGGCGACACGACGGCAACCTCCATTCAGCTTCCCCAAACTATCCCACTCCCCCCTGGCACACACCCCCTGCTTCACCGCTAGCTCCACTCCCCCTTCACCCCCCCCTTAGTACCACTCCAACGGCTTCAACAAGTCCACCCCCCCTCAGCGGCAGCTGCAGCACAGGGAGACGGAGGAGGAGGAGGAGCAGGGAACGGCACACAGTGGCTTCACCCCCATACCCCTCACCCCCAAACCCTAATTCAGGAGAACGGGCTGTAGGAGGGGTGGGGCGCCAGTAGAAGCACGGGGGACAGCGGGGAGGGCAGGGGCAGCGAGGAAAGGGCCGCCCACGGGCCTGGCACAGCCGCCCGAACCGCGCGCAGGCGGCCCGAGCCGCGCGCGGCCCTGGCGCAGCCCGTACGGGCCGCGCGCGGGCCTGGTGCAGCCCGTACGGGCCGCGCGCTGGCCTGGCGCAGCCCGTACGGGCCGCGTCCGGGCCTGGCGCAGCCCTTACGGGCCGCGCGCAGCCTGTACGGGCCGCACGCAGGCCACGACGGGCGACGGGGGGCGACGCGCGGGTCCCCGTCGCCCGTCGCAGCGCCTCCCGAGGGCGACGCGCCGAGGGACGGGGCAGAAGCCCGCCGCGTGCCTCGAGGCGCACAGCGGCCAGAGAACCGCCGCGCGCCACGGGGCGCACGGCGGGCAGAAAACCGCCGCGCGCCTCGGGGCGCACGGCGGGAAGAAAAACTGCCGCACGCCACGGGGCGTGCGGCACAGAGGGTAGCAGTGGAAGTTGCAGCGGAAGCAACGAGGTGGTGAGCCCACCCACAGGCCAAGAGCGTAGTCGCTCTGATTCCATGTGAAAGTAGTAAGCATAGTTAGGAGCCATAGCTAGGTAAGCCCTAGCTAGGCAAGAGAAAGTTTAGGCAAAGGGAGGTGCACTAGCAAGAATGGGGATACAAATAGGAAACCCTAGAAGGGTTGTACTCGCTATAGAGCACCCCACTACAGGCTAGAGCATAAGATAACATTCTGACAAGTACTGCGTTACTTACCTATATGGATGGTACCAGTTGTTAGTGCATTATTTACCCAAATGGCTGGCACTAAGTCTACGCGCGTTACTTATTTATATGGTTGGTACGAAGAGTAAATGCGTTACTTAACCATATGGTTGGCACGAAGAGTACGTGCGTTACTTACTTGTATGGTTGGTTCCAAGAGTATGTACGTTACTTATCCATATGGTTGGTACCAAAAGTTGCGCGTTACTTACCCATATAGTTGGTACCAAGAGTTCGTGCGTTATTTAACTATATGGTTGGTACCAAGAGTACGTGCGTTACTTAAACATATAGTTAGCACTAAGAATAAGTGCATTACTTAACCATATAGTTGGCACCAAGAATAACTGTGTAATTTACCCGAATGGTTGGTACTAAGAGTAAGTGCGTTACTCAACCATATGGTTGGTACCAAAAGTGCGTGCGTTACTGTTAAAGTACTAGCGAGAGTTTGGCTTAGGAGCCATAGTAGCTTAGGTGATTTGGTGAAGTTCGAGGGTGTAGGGTGTAAGGAAAAATGTCGAGAGAATTGTGGAAGGAGAATGGTGAAACTAGAAAGAAGGGGGATACAAGTAGTAAGCCCTAAAAGGGTTATACTCACTTTTGAGTACCCCACTACAGACTAGACATGCATTATAATCTGACACACCCCCATAGTCAAAGTGGGGTATAATCAGTACAGCATGCAGGCATAGAGCTAGAGTTCACAATAGGTAAGTAAGGCTAGAGCTAATCACAGAGGGCAAGTGAGGAGGAGGAGAGACTGTGGGGGAGAGAAGATGGGAGGCGACTGCTGATGCTGCAGACACACAGACGAGCTGCTGGCTCAGTGGCTACCGAAGCAAAGGCCCGGACTACAGGAGTAACTGGCTCCGCGGCTAAAAGTAGCGGCAGACGAGCAACTGACCCACAGGCGACTGGCGACTACCGGAGATTGTAGCCTCCGGACTGCTGGTGCTGCTGACGACAAGACTGCTGCCTCCACTTAACCTCCCCCAGCTGCCCAACGCCCCTCTCACACACCCCCTGCTCAAACCCTAGCCCTACACCCACAGCACCCCCTTAAACCCTAAACCCCAGACTCCCACACATCCACCCCCCTCAGCGATAGCTGCAGCAGTGGGAGACGAAGGAGGAGGAGGAGGAGGAGGGGACGGCACGCACAACCGACACCCCCACACCCACCCCCCCACGGCTGCACCGGGTCCAGGAGCGGCTGCTGCAGGGGCCAGGGGCGGCTGCTGCTGGGGCGGCTGCTCCAGGGGCTGCTGCTGCTGGGGCGGCTGCTCCAGGGGCTGCTGCTGCTGGGGCGGCTGCTCCAGGGGCTGCTGCTGGGGCGGCTGCTCCAGGGGCTGCTGCTGCTGGGGCGGCTGCTCCAGGGGCTGCTGCTGCTGGGGCTGCTCCTGCTGGGGCGGCTGCTGCTGGGGCGGCTGCTCCAGGGGCTGCTGCTGCTGGGGCGGCTGCTCCAGGGGCTGCTGCTGCTGGGGCGGCTGCTCCAGGGGCTGCTGCTGGGGCGGCTGCTCCAGGGGCTGCTGCTGCTGGGGCGGCTGCTCCAGGGGCTGCTGCTGCTGGGGCTGCTCCTGCTGGGGCGGCTGCTGCTGGGGCGGCTGCTCCAGGGGCTGCTGCTGCTGGGGCGGCTGCTCCAGGGGCTGCTGCTGCTGGGGCGGCTGCTCCAGGGGCTGCTGCTGCTGGGGCGGCTGCTCCAGGGGCTGCTGCTGCTGGGGCTGCTCCTGCTGGGGCGGCTGCTGCTGGGGCGGCTGCTCCAGGGGCTGCTGCTGCCGCTGCTCATGTTGCTGCGACGCCTCTCCACGTCGAGCAGCGCGTAATGCACGTGGGGACGTGTCTGACTCTGCTGTCGTACGTCCTGGACCAACTCCATGTGTGTTTGGCGCGCCAAAGTCTCGAGGTTGGGGGGATGGTGCCGTCGGAGCAGTCGGCGGCAGTGGCAGCAGCAACGGAGATGCTGCATTATCTCCCCTTGATCGGCCTTGTCCCTGGCGCCCCTGGTGCAGCGCTCGGGCCTGGGCCTGGGGCGATGATGCGGCTTGCAGAGTCTGCCCGGCAGGCTCCCCTTGGCCTTGTCTCAGCAGCCGCATCCGTCCTGCGTTGGATGGATGGGAGGCTGTGCTGGATACTTGCCGAGTAGCCGATGTTTTCCCCTTGCCAGCCCCCTTAGCGGCGGGCTTGGCCTTGGGCTTCCCCATAGCGGTGTAGGCACGCCCGGGGGTGTAGTTGTTGCTGTAGGTGACTACCACTGCATGTTGTAACACTTGTTGTTATAATTCTTGTCGTCCCCTTTGCCTTGCCACACCTCACGCGCGGCCGAAGGCCGCGCTGGTGAGCGGCGGCCGCCGAAGGCGGCCGGCGCGAGCCGGCGGTTTTGGAGAGTGAACTAAACTCACCAGTGAAGAATGAGGTCAAAAGGGTGCATCCAAGGACTATATACTAGGAGACTAGACTGAAAAACGGCTAAGGACTGGATCCTACACTAGAGAAAAACGGCTAAGGACCAGTCCTAGGCCATCCCTCTCTCTCTCTCTCTCTCTCTCTCTCTCTCTCTCTCTCTCTCTCTCTCTCTCTCTCTCTCTTGCTCTCTCTCGAACGAGCCGACGGTTTTGGAGAGTGAACTAAACTCACCAGTGAAGAATGAGGTCAAAAGGGTGCATCCAAGGACTATATACTAGGAGACTAGACTGAAAAACGGCTAAGGACTGGATCCTACACTAGAGAAAAACGGCTAAGGACCAGTCCTAGGCCATCCCTCTCTCTCTCTCTCTCTCTCTCTCTCTCTCTCTCTCTCTCTCTCTCTCTCTCTCTCTCTCTCTCTCTCTCTCTCGAACGGTCCTTTATTGATATAACATGCAGTACAACGTGCAGAGTTAACATGAAGCAGAAACAATCATATGAGTGACTACCCATACCCCCTAGCAGCCCCCCTGTGGGGGCTCAAGTGTTGCAAAGCAGTCCCCCGGGTTCAGCTCCCCCTCAGGCCCTCCTAAGGGGGGGTTTTCAGCCTTTGCTGCAAGGTTCAGCTTCATGAGGAAGCTAACCGCTTGCGCTCTCTGCAGGGCCACCGACCAACGCTGGCGGAATTGATGAAGCATCTTAGCGGCCTGGTAGGTAGAGGGGTCCGCATTAAAGAGCTTCCTCGCTGCCGTGTCAGCTAGGAGCTTGAGGAAAGTCGGTACTTCCTCGCAGGGGCAGCCGTAGGTCTCCACCGCTAAGGGGAAGAACCCCGCGAAGTCTGCCCTGCCCTGGTAAAGCCCTATTTTCTTGTCTGCCTGCTCCCGTGCCGCCCAGCCCCTCCCCTTCCTAGCTCTCTCATCACGCTTGCTGATGGGGTCGGTGATCGTTACGTCCGCCAGCCATACCGCCCCCGAGGTCCGGTCCCGGAACGCCAAATCGACTTTCTTGTTATCCACCGGGCTAAAGGCAGTGCACTCCTTGTGAACCGCGAACCCGGCATCCTGCGCCATGCGGATACATTCGTCGCGGAGCTCGTTATGGGTGTTGGTCCGACCGTGGCCCGTTCCGCACCGCAGCAGGTGGTTCGGCAGCCTCTTGTCAAGAATGGCCACTCGCTTCTCGCAGTCACAGCACTTGGGCACGGACAGGGGCAGGCCAAGCCGGAACTGAAGGGCGAAAGTGAAATGTTCGGGGCAGAGCCGGAGGGCGGGCATGTAGGGTATGGCGAGGAGCCAGTCCCCCGCCCCATAGCCCGTGAGTGAGATTAGGCGCTGTGTGTGGCCTGCCAGGGGGTTCAGCTCCATTTGTCTAGAGGCGATGATCTGTGCGGCGCTCCGGCTACCTTGGGCTGTCAGTGCCAGGCGGTGCTGTAGCTGGCCTGCTGGTTTTGCTAGTTCGGAAGCAATCAGGTCCCGCGCTTCCGGTGTTAGGCATTCTCTGCAGTCACTGATCCATCTCTGCAGCTCGTTCGGGCTCGGGTCTGCCGCGTCAGGGCTGTGCAGTGCTGCTGTGAGGTAGGACCCCGCCGCCCCCGGGAGGGGGCTGAGGAGGGAATGGGCCTGTACGAGGCTGGCCAGAAAGCTGTACCGGCCCTCCACCACAGGATCTGCAAGGCCTAGCCCACCGAGGCTCGGCGGGAGTGATGCCTGGTCCCATATCCGCCCTGCCTCCGTCTCTCCCCTTGGGTGGCGCACCCCACATGCGTGAAGAAGGGCGTGTAGCAGGGCCCGGCCCCACCTGGTCCATTCGGCTTCAGGCAGCAGGTATAGAGGGGTGGTGCGGGCGAGATATGATATGCGCCTGGAGATACACCGAGTCAGTAGCAGTGAGGTTACTTGGGGGTCCATTTTTGAGAGGTGCGGCAGTGGGGTAGACATGGACTCGAGTTGCGAGCGCAGGAAAGCCGCTGCACCTTCCCGTGAGCCGATGAAACTCCCCAGTACTCGCAGGCCCCCCTCACAGAGCGGGACTCCCTGTGGCAGCACCAGGGGATCGACCGCCGCTGCGCTCCACGCCGCACATTTCTCTGGGTTGTAGCGCAACCCCACGTCGCGCAAGCCCTCTGTAAAGTGGCAGAAGGCCTTCGAGCAGTCCAGTGGTTCGCCCAAGAAGGTGACGTCGTCGGCAAAGGCCAGGCATAGCACGGATGGGAAGGCCGCTGCGGTTTTGGTGAGGGCGGGATGGATCCCGGCGGCGAAGAGTAGCGGGCCGAGCGGATCCCCTTGACGCACGCCGGTCTCGCTGTTGAGCGGCTCGCATTCAAACCCCGCATCTAGGAAAAGCTGGGCCGGTTTGCCGTACGATATTCTGGTGAGTGGAATGATGCCCTGCAGCGCCGAGCCACGTAGTGCGTCTACTATTGCCGCGCGGCTAATGGAGTTGAAGGCGTTTGCTAGATCCGCCTGTAGAATCAGCGCCCCTGGATTCGCGCTAGTGAAGGTTCTCGCGGCGTGAATGATTGCCTCACTGCCGCCCTGGACCGATACACAGAACTGGAGTGGGAGGAAGTGGGCCTGGCATGCGTCCGATAACGACGCGAGTGCTGATTTTGCGGCGATGCGTAGGATGCACTCGCCGACCGCGATGGGGCGAGTGCCTCCGCCAGGCTTATCTAAGGCGATGAGGCGCGAGGCAGTAAGGAGCGAGCAGATCTCGTCTGGGAGATTGCCGCTAAGGATTGTGTTGACGAGCGCGTGCAGGTGTGTGGTAACTGTTGGTGCAACCCTACGGTTCGCACTCGGCTTGTTGTCCGTGTGCGTGTGCGTGCATGCGTGTGTGCATGTAGTGGTATGAGTGCATGAAATAAACATATATTTCATGCTCATAATATTGTGTGTATGATGGGTCATGATGTCGAGTGTGTGTGTGTCAAGTCTATAGCGAATTATCGCTAGTCGCGTGAAACGCGGTCATTTTGTGTGTCCCGCGCGGTTTCTATTTTGTCGTGCGCGGTTTCTATTTTGTCGCTTGTCGAACGTTCGGCGTGTCGCAGGTGTGTGCAGCAGACCCATCAAGAACTCGAGGATGAGTTTGTGATGAAGAACCCGAGCCTTGGTTGCAAGCCTCGAGTGATTTCGAAGCTCGCCAAAAGGGTACACCTCAAGATATTGAAGATAGTTACATTACTTTGTGTAGTGTAATATTTCAGTTGGTGTAGGCCCTTGTGAAGGGTAGTTTCGAGACCCTTCTTGGTTGGGGACAGTGTGGCACTGTTCCACATCACTGTACCTCGGCTCTTGGGGTTTGTAGGAGCTGGGAGTCATTCCCAACTCCTAACTCTTCCTAACTCTTCCTAATTTGTGTTCTAAGACTATGTTGCTGCCATAGTGCCGTTCGTTCAAACCAACGCTGTGTCGTCAATACTTGGTGAAATCGTGCGATCGAAATTGCCTATTGTAGGCGACATTAAGACGCTCCAGATCCAAGTTGAATGAAGTTATTTGGAGTTGTGAGCAGATCGCTATGAACGTTTAAAGCCGCTGTGCAGAAATCCGACTGTGCACTCTATCTTTCGTTTTAGGCACATTGAAGCCTACTGTGACTATAACAGTAACCCCACTGTTTGCGATGGCAGCGTCCCTCAGGTGCTCGAAGGTCATTCCAGAAGGTCCGCCTCCCACTCCATTTTCACACCGGCATAAATTTTTTACGAATGCACCACTGTCGATGGAGGCAGGCTGCACTGTATCGGGGATGGCCCAGTCGATGAGTCCAGGTGGCGCTTGGGGGTGCTTTGCTTTGAGTGCTCCCAGGGTGTCGGCTGACGGGTCAGCGACCGGTGCTGACTCCAGGGCAAGGATCGCCCGTCGTAGACTTCCCTTGTGTGTGAGGCCCTCTGCTCTGGCGCGTCTGCCCTGGTCGTCAGGTGTGTGACGTGGCGGTTATGGCCCATTTATCGCGGCTGCTGCAGACTCGTAAAGCTGCATCCATTCGCCTTTGAGAAATTGGCGCAGTCGCTGCTTCACGGCTGGCCAATCGGGCTTCTCCGTTGATGGCAGGCGAAGTGTTAGGCGCGGGAGAAAAAGTAACAGGCGCCATCCTGCAATTGAGTCAGGGTAACGCGCGAGGCGGAGCAGTGGTCTCAGTAGGGCCGATGCGAATAGGGGACGAATGTCAGCGGGGAGTTTTCGCGACAGTGGAGGCTGACGACTGTCGCGAAGAGGAGACAGGTCCCAATTTTCAATTTTCCCAAACCGCCCATCGTCCCTCGCCAATTGCTCAGGCGAGAATTGGCGGGTTTCTGGGGGCGGCGCAATGGTGTCCGGTGCCCGTGGTGCTGCTCCCCTCCCAAGTGGGAGTACGGCACGCGGCCCGGCTTGGTGTTGGGTCTCTCGCCTCCTCGTCATTAGTCTGTCTTAAAGCCCGCCCTGCCACTCTCTGGAAACCGTTCTCGGGTCCTCCTCCCCAGCCTGCTGTGCCTCTGCGACCTCCGCCTCGTCCGGCCCGAGATGCCTGTAGCGCTTGGCGACGAGATGCATTATCCGCCACTGTCCTTTATCGCGGCGTCTGCTGTGGCTGTTCCTCCGGTTGCATCGGCTCCTGCACGGGCGGCTGCGGCGATGTCGCCGAATCACGCTCCGTTGCCTGCTCCTCCCGCTGCGCCGGCTCCTGCGACTGTTGTGGCGCATCCTCCTGCTGAGAAGTCTGCTCTTGCTGTTCCGCCGTCAGAGGTGCCGAGCCTCGCGGCGCCACCTGGTGTGTCCGCTCCCGCTGCTGCGCCTGTTCCCCTCGGTCTCTCTGCTGCGCCGGGAGCGCCCGCTCCCCCTGGGGAGTTTGCTGCTCCCCCTGCATCTGTCCCTGACGCCCCCGTTGTTCCGGCCGCTTCTGTCCCCGTCGCGCCTGCGCCGGAATCTGCTTCGTCGCCGAAGGCGGCGTCCGCCACCACTGGCGGCCCTGCCCCGATGGTCGCGCCTCCGGCCGTGGACTCGACTGCACCTGTTGTGCCGCCGACGGCCCCGGGGGCGCAGACGTCTCGTCCTCCGTCGCCGGACCGCCGCCAATCCCGCCCCCATTCTCCCGCGCCTCAGCAGGAGCGCGAGTCGTCGCGGCGCCAGCGAAACTCTCCTCGGCGCTACCAGCAGCAGGCCCAGTGGCCTGGTCACCCCGGTGGCAATGGGGGCTGGAGGGGTCCCCGCGGGCGTGGTGGTGGCGGGGCATACCGCCCGCCCGTAACAATGGCTGATCTTCAGCGGGAAGTGTCGAGGGCGGTGCGCGAGGAGAGGGCGGCACAAAGCCAGAGTAGTTCGCTGCGCGCCGCACCGGCGCATGTGGATCCTCGTCAGGCTCTGCCTCCCGTGGGCCTTGCACCTGCTGCTGCGCTTCCTCCTCATCCTCATGCCCCATCGCCTCCCGCTCCTGCTGCCTCTGCCGCTGCTCCTGGCTCGCGTCTCCGCCTGTGGCGGGTGTGGAGTTCGTGGCTGCTGGTGGTGGGGCGGCGGGGGCGCAGGACACCCCTTATCCTGCTGCGGACGACCCGCTTCCCTTCTTGGCGGTGGCGCTTCAGCCACCGCAGACCCGTGTCCCTGAGTCGACTCTCGGCCAGCTGCACCGTCTGGCCGAGAGCCTTCACGCGTTGCTCCTGATTCAGGTGCTGACTCACGCGTCTCTCCCTGCGATCCCTGCTGACTCCTTTCGTGACAGGCCGCGCGAGACCTGTCTGGACGCGGCGGACCAGCTCGCGCAGCTGCTGGCGCCCGCGTTGGCTGCGCCCGCAGAGGGTGGCGCTGCGGCTGTGGGACAGCTCGACGAGGCTGTCCGGGGTTTAAGGCGGTACTTGCGCGCTGGATCTGGAGCCGCGGCGATCGGCGCAAGTACGCTGGTGGTCCGGGAGCTGTGGCGGACCTTAACTGGCATTCTCCATGCCCTTGGAGCTCACCGGATGTAGATCCGGGCTCCGCTTGCCCCTGTGTTGCCATTGGTGCTTAGGATTGTGTTGATGCCACCATAGTTTGTATGCCGTTGCTTGTAGTCAATCGTGTGCGTGTTTCCTTGCCACCCCTCACGCGCGGCCGAAGGCTGCGCTGTCGAGCGTCGGCCGCCGATGGCGGCCGGCGCGAGCCGCTGGGTTAGAAGAAATGAACCCCCAGCTGAATAATGAGCCACCAGACCAGGCCCAGGGCCTTATATACTAGGGGTAGGGGTGACTGAGAGGCTGAGAGGCTAAGGGACTAATGGACTATGCCTCTCTCTCTCTCTCTCTCTCTCTCTCTCTCTCTCTCTCTCTCTCTCTCTCTCTCTCTCTCTCTCTCTCTCTCTCTCTCTCTCTCTCTCTAGTCCGTATATTGATAGGCCAGAAGGTTACACACATGCAATGAGAGACAGCAGGGTGCTAACATGCAAGGTAGCCTAGACTATCCAACTCCTCTGTGCCACCTAGAGCTCAAGAAGAGGCTCCAGGACAGTAAAATAGTCCCCTAGGTATAATTCTTGCCCTATCCCCCCTACAGGCGGGTTCTCTGCAGCAGCCGCCTCCCCTAACTTAATCATGAGACCCACGGATTGGGCCCTCTGCAGTGCAATCGACCACCTCTGCCTGAACTGGTGCAGGAACTTCGCGGCATGATAGGATTTGGAGTCGGCGTTGAAGTATCGCCGAGCCACCGTGTCTGCAAGGAGTTTCAGGAACACAGGGACCTCACCACAAGGGCAGCCGTAGGTCTCCACTGCGAGGGGGAAGAAACCCACTGTCTCTGGCCGGTTTTCATAGTGTTTGATCTTTTTATCCGCCTGCTCCCGGGCTGCCCATCCCCTGACTTTCCGTGCCTCCGGGTCCCTGGTGCTAATAGGGTCTGTGACCGTGACATCACATACCCAGACCGCCCCACTACTTCTGTCTGTCATGGTAAAATCAGCCGTCTGCTCCTCTATGGGGCAGTAGACGTTTGTCTCCCTGTGGACTATGAACCCCGCGTCTTGCGCCATGCTGATGCACGCGTCGCGGAGTTCGTTATGAGTATTCGTCCGGTGCTTCCCCGTGCCGCAGCGGAAGAGGTGGTTGGGGAGGCGCGGGTCTGTGATAGCGATGTGTTCTGCACAGTCACAATTCTTCGGAGTAGAGAAAGGGAGGCCCAACCGGAAGCGCACGGCGTTGCTGAAGTGTACCGGGCCGATGCGACGTGAGGAAGCTACCGGTACCGCCGTCAGCCAGTCCCCTGTGCCGTAGCCTGTGAATGAGAACATTCTCTGTGTGTGCGCGGAGAGTGGATTCAGTCTCATTCGTCTCGTCTCTTGGACCTGTACCGCGTACCTACTCCCCTGTACTTTCAGGGCCAGAGTGTGCTGGAGCTTGATGTCCGACCGAGAGAGCCGCTCCTGGTCAACTACGTCGCGTGCGTCTGAGGGCAGGGCAGTCTCGCACTCTGTGAGCCAGGAGTGAAGCGGTGTGGTGACGTCCCGGGGCAGAATCATGTGGCTGTGTGCTCGGGTCAGTGCTGTGTCTGGTGCTAGCGTCAGGGAGGAAAAGAAGAGCGCGGCCTGTGTGAAGCTGGCTACGAAGCCGTAGACGCCTTCTACGAGTGGGTCCGTGATTCCTAGGCCGCCCAAGGATGATGGAAGCGAGGCCTGCGCCCACACTCTCGACTACTCCGTGCTACAGGTAGGGACTCTAATCCCGCAGGATGTCAGGAGCGCGGCTAGGAGGTCTCTCCCCCACTGTGCCCAGGTGTCTCGTGGTAGGAGGTTCAGTGGTGTAGTCCTAGTGAGGTATGCTACGCGTCTGGAAATGCAGCGGGTCAGGAGCAGGGAGGCTACTTGGGGGTCGGCACGTTCTAAGAGCGGCAGCGGCTTCGCCATTTCCTCTAGCTGCCCCGCCAGGAATTTGGCCGCGCCCGCCGCTGGCCCCAGGAAGCTGCCTAGAAGGCGTATCCCGTCCTTGGAAAACGGGACCCCTGGTGGCAGCTGAATTAGCTCGTCGCCCCTTGTGCTCCATGCCGCACATTTCTGTGGATTATGTTTAAGCCCCAGCTGCGCTAGCTTGCTCGTGAAGAAATTGAATGCTGCTACAGTGTCCGTGTCGTCCCCCAAAAATGTCACATCGTCTGCATATGCCAAGCAGAGAACGTGGGGGTGTGCGTCGGCAGTTTCGTGAAGTGCTGGGTGAATCCCTGCTGCGAACAGTAGAGGGCCGAGTGGGTCCCCCTGCCTCACGCCGCGTTCACTATTTAGCGGGTGGCTGGCGAAGTTCGAGTCGAGGTACAGCTTCGACGGGTTACCGTACGTTAGCCGCACCAGAGGGAGCAGTGACGAATGGTTGTTGTCGCGTAACCCGTTGATGATTGCCTGTCGCGAAATGCTGTTAAAGGCGTTTGAGATGTCGGTCTGTAACACCACGCAGCAGTCCCTCGAGTCAATGAAGGCACGTGCGACATGGATATTTGCCTCTGCTCCCCCTGGTACCGCCACCCCGTACTGTAGTGGCAAGAAGTGGTCACGTGCAGCTTCCCCAATTGCGGTCAGAGTTGCCTTGGCCACGAGGCGCGTCAGGCATTCGCCAATTGCAATTGGCCGAACCCCCCCACCTGGCTTGGACAGCGCGATTAGGCGTGACGCTGTCAGCAGGTCTGCCACTGGCTCGGGTAATTTGCCTGCCAGGATAGTGTTGATTAGGGCGTGCAGGTGGGTGCAGACCGATGCGTTGGTTGCAGATGCGTTGCGAAGGTGTTCGAAAGCGGTTCCGGACGGTCCAGTCCCCACCCCATTTTCGCACCGACCCAGAAGTTTGGAGAAATCGGCGTGGTTGATTTGGAGGTTCGGGCCAGGTGCTGTTGGCCAGCTCAGCTGCTCGTCGTCGGCTCGGGGGTGTTTCGCGCGAAGTTCATCCAAGATTGCTGGGCCTGGCGTGCAGACTGGGGTTGACTCGAGGGCCAGCACGGCTCGCCGTAGACTTCCACGCTTGGCCAGGCCCTCCGCCCTGCTGAGTACTCCCGCCTCGTCAGGCTGGTGACGTGGAGGCGGTGGGGTGTTGATGGCTTCGATTGTGTCAGAATACAGCTGCCCCCATTCGCCACGCTGGAAAGCTCTGAGACGGGCTTTGACTTCGGGCCACTTCGGTCTTCTTGGCGACGTTTGGCGAAGAGTGAGCCAAGGGAGAAACAGCAGCAGTCGCCACCCTGCGACCGAGTCCGGATTTCGCGCGAGGTGAAGGAGCGGGGTGAGTAACACCAGTGAAAACAGCTGACACAAATTGGGCGGTAATCGGCGCGACAGGGATGGCTGACGACTGTCGCATAGGGCCGCCAAGTCCCAATCATCGATGGCTGCGAACAGGTCTGTTCGCTTCGCCAATTCCTCTGGCGAGAAGTAGCGGGGGAAATGTGTTTGATTTGCTGACGCGCTGCCAGAGCGCGCGGTTTGATTCCTCTGCGCGCGCCTCGAGATATCGCCCTGTCCATGAGTTGGAATCGTAGCCGTCCGATTCACTTGTTGCGCTCCTCCTACCTCGCCCGCCTCAAGCTCAGCAGCTTGCCTCCCAGGCCTTAGCCTTCCAGCCTCATCACTTTCGTCCTCGTCATCTTCACTTAGTGGGAGCGGCTCCTCCCTCTAAGAAGGATCTCCACGCTCCTCCTCCGCATTAGCCATTTCCAGTGCTGTTAAAGCCCGTCGCCCCGCCGCTTGGAAGCCATTCTCCGGTCCACCTCCCTCGCCGCTAGCTGTCACTCTCCCTCTGCCTCGCCCTCCTCGGCCCCTCGATGGTGATTGCTGGGCCGACCGATTATTCGCCAATGCGCGCTGGCGCTGCGTCGGTTGCGTTCGAAAGGCCACCGCCTGCCTCCGGAACGAGGACCATGCCGACGGGCTCCCCGACGCTGCCTGCTCCGAAGCCCGTGACAGAAGACGCTGAAATCCTTCCTCGCCCCGCATCGTCGTTTCGCGAGGCCCTGGCGTCTCTGCCTGGCGACGGTGGTCGCCAGGCTCCCGTGCTGTCTGCACCTCTTCTTGTCGAGCCGCCTGTCCCTCTCGCTGCAGCGTCTGATGTGACTGCTCCGTCTGGCGCTCTTCGAGCTGCCGACCCCGCCGCTCCGTCTGCGGCCGCCGAGCGGGCGGTTGTTGCTGGCGGCGTGACGGCCCAGCCGGAGGGGTCCGCCACCACTGACGTCCAGGGCCAGCCGGCGCTTCCCGCCTCTCCGGCTCCCCCGTCTGCACCGCCTCCGACGCTGGCGCCTCCTCCGCCTGTGCAGGCGGGATCTGCTCCTGCACTGGCCATGGCTGTACCTCCCGCGCCTCCTGTGATTGCGCCCCCTGCACCGTCTGCGGGTGCTCCTCTCGTGCCGCCTGGGGTTGCTCCTATTGCCCAGCCTGTTGTTGCTCCGCCAGCTCCGCACGTGGCGGGTCTGTCTGCGCCGCCTGTGGCCGTTCCCGTTGCGCCACTGGTGGCAAATCCCTCTGCGCCGTCCGCCCCGCGTCCGCAGTCTCCTGGCCGTCGTCAGCAGCGGCCCCAATCCCCCGCGCGTCAGGACGAGCGCGCGACGTCCCGGCGCCGCCACAATTCCCCGCGGCGCCGCGGTTCTCAGGCAAACTGGGCGGCGCAACGCGGCGGCCGAGGCGGCTGGTGGGGGCCGCGTCAGCGGGGTGGCGGCTGGGGGTTTGATCAGCCGGTGACGATGGCTGACCTGCAGCGCGCGGTGTCTGCTGCTGTGCGCGAGGAGCGGAACGGGCAGGCAAGCCAGAGCAACTCCCCGCGTGTTGCTCAGACCCCCGCGGCACCTCCTCCAACTGCACCTCCTGCCCTGGCTGCCCCTCGTCCTCCTGCAAATGCTCCTCCTCATGTCCCCGTGACTGCGCAATATCCGTCCCTGCTGCCTGTTGATCCCTTTCCCCCGTCCGCAGGTGCGGCGTACCCGTTCTCGGCCCTACTGGGGCCTCAGCGTCCGGTCGCGGTTCCGGAGGTGACCCTTGGTCAGATCTGGCGCCTGTCGGAGGCGCTGCGGGTCGTGCATCTGGTGCAAGTGTATGGTCATGCCGCCCTGTCCCAGGGCGACTCACTGGTGGGAGGCCCTCGGGACGATTGTTTCGCGGCAGCTGATCGCCTCGCCGAGCTGCTAGCGCCCGTGTTGGCTGCGCCCGCGCCGGGTGGGCTTGCGGGGGTCGGGCCCCTTGGTTCTGCCGTACGTGGGCTGCGGCGGTTGTTGCATGCAGGGACTGGATCCGGGGCGATCGCCGCAGGCACGGTGTTGGTGCGTGAGCTCCATCGCACGCTGTCAGGGCTGCTTGCTGTGTTTGACGCGGATCAGGTGTAGCGTCCGCGTGCCCCAGGAGCTCCCCGCGTGTGGATGCGGGCTCCTCTTGCTCCATGCTTCACCTAGGCTAGTGTTGTGTGTTCCATGCTTGTATGCGTGCCTATAGTGGCTTGTCTTGTGTGTATCTTGCCACCCCTCACGCGCGGCCTTCGGCCGCGCTGTCGAGCGTCGGCCGCCGAAGGCGGCCGGCGCGAGCCGCTGGGTTAGAAGGAATGAACCCGCAGCTGAATAATGAGGAAGGAACCAGGCCCAAAGGCCTTATAAACTAGGGGTGTGGGGGGCTGAGAGGCTGAGAGGCTAAGGGGCTAAGGGACTATGCCTCTCTCTCTCTCTCTCTCTCGCTCTACTTCCGCTGGGTTAGAAGGAATGAACCCGCAGCTGAATAATCAGGAAGGAACCAGGCCCAAAGGCCTTATAAACTAGGGGTGTGGGGGGCTGAGAGGCTGAGAGGCTAAGGGGCTAAAGGACTATGCCTCTCTCTCTCTCTCTCTCTCTCTCTCTCTCTCTCTCTCTCTCTCCCTCTCTCTCTCTCTCTCTCCCTCTCTCTCTCTCTCTCTCTCTCTCTCTCTCTCTCAAGCAGTCATATATTGATAGGGTTCACAAGGTACAGGCATGGCATAGCGGTGGAAACGAGTTGGTCTAGGTAAGCATGCAAGTAGCCGGTAGCTAAGCTAGCAAGCAAGCGAACAACGTGACAGCAGACAGAACAACCACCACATCAAACCAAATACCCACAGGAAGCCCCAAGCCCTATCAACCCTGACATCCTCCTCCTCCTGCTCTGGCTCTAACTACTCCCCTGACTTGCCCCTGTAGCCGAGAGCCTCCCTTGGACGACCACCGCTGCCTCCCTGTGCTGTCCACCTCTCAGAACCCCTCCTTGACCGCCCCCGAAGTGCCGACAGCTCCCTACCCTCTCAAGCCGCCACAGCCGGGGACCTCCTGTCCTCGTACTCATCCTCAAGCGTCTGCCAGAGGTCCCCAAGCCGTGGCGCCCAGGGGTCTGCAGCCGTCTGTGGGAAGGCTGCCTCATCGGCTCGGTTTGACTTGGAGAGAAGGGAGACGGCCTGGCTACGCTGGAGCGACACTGACCACCGCTGCCTGAAGTGTGCGTTGAGGCGGGCAGCAGTTGTCGTCAGGCGCCCCTGCCTATACTTCTTCTTGGCCGCGTAGGTCGCTAGCAGCCTGAGGAACTGCACGGTGTCCTTGGCCATCGCCCCATAGGTCTCTACCGCGAGACCAAAGAAACCGGCGTAGCCCGGGCGGCCCTCCTATAATCTGTGTTTCCCCTCCGAGGCCTCCTCTGCCGCCCACCCCGGGGGCTTCCGTGCCCTCTTGTCACGCCGCTGCAGGACTGGGTCAGTGACTGTGACATCCGTGACCCACGTTTCACCCGACTCCTGGTCCCTGATAGCCAAGTCCGCCCGCTTTCGAAGGACAGGGGGGGAGAAGGCCGACGTCTCATGAAAAGTCTTGTACCCCGCGTCATTAGCCATCCGCAGTGCCGCGAAAACCAGGTTGTCGTGGGTACGGACCGCGTCCCCTCCATCTCCGCACCGCAGGAGGTGGTTGGGGAGGCTCTTGTCATCAATTTTGGAGTTACCTCGCTTGCAGGGGCAGACCTCAGTGACCGGCAGCTCCATGCCAAGGCGGAGTCCTAGAGCCAACGAGAATCGACCAGGGGAGAAAGTAAGGTCGCCTCTCGTTGGGATGGCATGTAACCAGTCGCCTGCCCCTACCCCTTTCAGGCTGGTGAGGCGGATGACGTGCCCCCTGTCCTCTCCCGGCTTGTCCTGGAGGGTGTCAGCTAGGATTTCGGCTGCCCGCCGCTGGTTTATGGTCCTTGATAGCCCCAGCTGCAAGTTCCCTGTGCCCTGTGCCCCGGTCCTGTACTGTTCCAGTACCCCCCGTGCCTCTGCAGGGAGGCCAGCTTCTATGGTGGTCCTGGGGTTGACTGCAGGTGGATCGGGGGCCCACTCGTGGGAGAGTAGCACTGTTGCTCTGCTCAGCAGACCATCCGGCGGCAGTTTCAGCTGCCTCAGGAGTGTGTGGGCTGCCGTGACAGAGGCGAGGTAGGCTGCAGGCGCCTCGGAGGTGGGGTCAATGACTCCTAGGCCGCCTAGCCGCACTGGAAGCGTAGCCTGGCGCCATAGGAGACTCTGCTCTAGCTCCGAGGTTGGGATCCGTAGCTTTGCCGCTGTCAAAGCCGACCCCACCAGGGCCTTGCTCCACTCCCTCCATTCCCGGCGGCTCAGTGTTGCAGCCGGCGTCGTCCGCAGCATGTATGAGATCCGCCTGGAGATGCTGCGGGAAATCATGAGGAGTGCGTGTTGCGGGTGCAGCTGCGAGATAAGTTGTAGTGGCGCGGCTGCTTTTCCGAGGGCGGACCTGACGTGCTCCGTGCAGAAGGCGGCGTCCCCAACTGGACTGCCAAGCACTCGAATCCCCCCTGGGTCCGCCATCAAACCGTGTGGTAGCTCTCCAGGTTGCGGCCCAGAGTCCCCCCCCCATGCCGACGACTTGTCAATATTGCAGCGTAGACCGTACGTTGCGAGCGTCGCGGCAATCGTGTTAAAGGCGAGGCTGGCCGCCTTCTGTGGGCCAACAATCGTGATGTCGTCAGCATAGGCAACAACCGCCACCTCAGGAATCGTTGCCGCTACACTCAATAGTGCCGGCTGGATGGCGGCTGCAAATAATAGACGCTCGAGTGGGTCCCCTTGGCGTACCCCACGTGAGCTCTGGATGTAGTCTGTGCCCAGGCGTGGATCTACCAGGAGCCGCGATGGTCCGTCGTAGAGGTTGCGGACCAAAGGGAGTAGGGTTCTCAGGTTAGACCACTGAAGCGCGCCGAAGAACGCCACCCGTTCAACGCTATTGAAGGCGTTTTCTACATCTAGCTGCAGAGCGATGCGGTTGCTGTCGTTCTGAAGTAGAGCCCGCACCGAGTGTATGATACACTCCGCGCCCCCCTGTACCGCTACCCCAAACTGTACGGGGAGAAAAAACTCTCGGATTTTGGGGCCGAGCGTGTGTAATGCTGCTTTCGACGCCACACGGAGCATGGCCTCTCCAATCGCTATCGGCCGTACCCCTCCGTTTGGCTTCTCCAGGGCGATGAGGCGCGATGGGAGGAGCAGGTCACGGATCGGTTGTGGCAGGACGCTGCTAAGGAGGCGGTTTAGTAGCTGGGTGAGCAGGGTTAGGATCTCCTCGTTGGCCAGCGCGGGATCTCTAATGTGTTCGAAGCAGGTTCCTGAAGGCCCTCCGCCTACCCCATTTGGGCACCTCGCTAGGATTTCGCGAACTGAGTCAATCGGGGCTGACAGCTCTGACGAGGTGGTGCTCGTTACCCACGAAGGAATGTCGCTCGTAGCAGGGGGGTGTTTCGCAAGCAGTGCCTCGAGCGTGGCGGTGGTTGGTTCTGCCAGGGGACTGGTGAGTAACGCTGTTACCGCCTTGGAGATGTTGCCTTTTTTCATAAGGCCTTCAGCCCTAGCACAGAGGCCCTCGTCATCCGGTTGGTGTCTTATCGGGGTATCTGTTTCGGGGATGGTGCTTGCTTCCTCGAAAAGTTCCTCGAATTTGCCAAGTTTGAATTGATGCAGCCGAGCCTCGATCCGAGCCCATCTGCTTCCAGAAACCGGTTCGGGAGGTGGTCATAAGGTCAATCTCGGCAAAAATTGGAGAACCTTCCATGCGCCCGCACAGTCGGGAAACTTCTTCAGACGGAGGAGGGGTGCCAGAAGGCAAAGGCAATAGCTATCCAGGATTTGCGGGGGTACGCGGCGGACCAAAAATGGCTGGTCTCCACGCTGCATCTGGGACACATCCCAGTCCCTCGCTGTCCGCCAGATGTCTTCGTCATCTGCCAGGTCGGCCGGCGAGGGTACATCTGTCACCTCTGTGGTGGGCAAGGGCACATTCCGTGCCTCAGTGGCAGGCAGGGGCCCATTCGTCACCTCGGTGGCAGGCGCTCCTTCATTGTGAGGGGTGTTCGGTGGGTTACCACCCGAGGCCCGCCGTCGCCTGTGGGATGTGTTCCTGCCTTCTCCCTCCTCATCCTCCAGTGAGACTTCCTCTGATTCCTCCTCCTCCTCCCCGCCCATAAACCCAGGGTCGTTCCCGGAGTTGTCAGAGTCAGCTGCCTCCTCATTCGCTGGAGCAGGTTCAGGTTCAGGTTCTGGCCTATCGTGCCTCTCCCGCCAAGGCCCTGCCCGTACTGCGAGATCGGCCCCGCCTACGATCGTCTGTCCCCCGCGGGCTCCACGTCCTCCGCGCCCGCCGCGTCCTGCGCCCCCCCGCTCTCCTCTCCCTCTGCCCGTCGGTGGTCTCGTACTACCCACAGTTCCTCCGCGCCGGACCGGCATCCACGGCGTTCGGCCACCTCGCGGCGGTCCCCAAGTCACCGCGCCAAGGCGTGGCGAACGCCGCGTGTTTTGTGGTGCTAGTGCCGCCGTTTTTGCCGCTCCCGTCATTCCTGTCATCTCTGCCTGTGGCACCGCGGGTCCTTCAACTTCGTCCACCTCGGCGTCAATCACCGGCAGAGCGGAAGATGGAGACGGACGCATTGGCTCTTGTGGCGGCTGCCCTTGTCGCAGCCAGCCCAGGAGGGGTCCCGGGGCGCCAGGTCCCAGCCCTGCTCCAGGCCGCCTCGGTGCTGGCTGGGCGCGGACCTTTGGCCGCGTCTTCCCGCGAGCGGCGCAAGCAGCGGCGTCAGTCCCGGGGCCCTGTCTTCCGCTCCCCCCCTGGGCGCACCCCCGCATGTTTGCGGCCGCGGCAGCAGCAGTCATTCCGGCGGACGCATCGGCAGTCGGCGCAGCCTCTTCACTCTGGGGTCCCTCCGGTCGCCTCACTGCCTCGGCCACGACCGCCGCAATCTCCGCTACCACGAGCGGTGACGGCGAGTCTCCCCACGCAGTCCGTGACTCCTCCTCAGCCCGACCCTGCTCCTCCGGTAGCACCGGCGCATTCGGGTGGTCAGCCGAGGGCGAGGCTAAGCCGTCGTCAGAGGCGGCAGCAGTCACATCAGCAGTCCCTTCCCCCACCATCTCCGGCACAGTTATCGCCTCCCTCACCGTCAATTTCACCCCAGCCGCGACGCCTGCCTCCGTCTCAGCCAGTGGCGCCCCCTCAGACTCAGCAGCCTCAGCAGCCCCCACCGAACCCATTCCCGCTACCTCACCCTCAGCTGCATCAGCCGCCAACTCCTCGGGTGCTGCATTTTCCTCCCGTCCCCCCAGCTCCTCATGCTCCCGCTCGTGTAGCAGCAACGCCTCTCCACGTCGAGCAGCGCGTAATGCACGTGGGGACGTGCCTGACGTTGCTGTCATACGTTCTGGACCAGCTCCACGTGTGTCTGGCGCGTCAAGGCATCGAGGTTGGGGTGATGTTACCATCGGAGCAGTCCGCAGCGGTGTCCGCGGCAACGGAGATGCTGCATTATCTCCCCCTGATCGGCCTTGTCCCTGGCGCCCCTGGTGCAGCGCTCGGGCCCGGGCCTGGGGCGATGGTGCGGCTTGCAGAGTCCGCCCAGCAGTCCCTCCTCGGCCTTGTATCAGCAGCCGCATCCGTCCTGCGTTGGATGGACGGGAGGCTGTGCTGGATACTCGCCGAGTAGCCGTTGTTTTCCCCTTGCCAGGCCCCTTGGCGGCGGGCTTGGCGTTGGGCTTCCCCATGGCGGTGTAGGCACGCCCGGGGGTGTTTTTGTTGCTGTAGGTTACTAACACTGCATGTTGTAGCACTTGTTGTTATAATTCTTGTCGTCCCTTTCCTTGCCACACCTCAGTCACAGTTTTTGGGGGTGGAGAAGGGCAACCCAAGCCTGAATCCGACGGCATTGGCAAAGTGTGCTGGTCCAATGCGCCTCGTCGCCTCTATAGGGATCGCCGTCAGCCAGTCCCCCGTGCCATAGCCGGTTAGAGAAAACATCCGCTGCGTATGGCCCGCAAGCGGTCAGCTCCATGTCCCTTGTCGCCTGTACTTGCACAGCGTAACGACTACCGTGGACCTGTAGGGCGAGGGCGTGCTGCAGCTTGACGTCCGTCCGTTTAATCCGTTCCCGTTCCAGCAGCTCACGCGCATCAGAAGGCAGGGCGGTTTCGCATTCGGTGAGCCAGGAGTGGAGCGGCGTGCTCTCGTCTCTAGGCAGGAGCATATGGCCGCGCGCGTGAGACAGAGCGGAGTCTGGGGCTAGCACGAGCGCGGAGAAGAGCAGCGCCGCCTGCGTGAAGCTTGCTACAAAACCGTAAACTCCCTCGACGAGGGGGTCTGTAATGCCAACTCCACCAAGAGAGGGGGGCAGGGACGCCTCTCTCTCTCTCTCTCAAGCGGTCCTTCATTGATGTAATGATGGGGTACAACCAAGGCATGCGCAAGAGCCTAACAAGCCATCCCTAGGCATGCAACATAGTTTGACAAGCAAGCAATCTAGGTAATTGGCTGGCCAACGTGCAGCCTAGCAACCCTATCACCAACCAACCGTCCAGCCCCCTCCTGTAAGGTCCGCCTCATAGGTGGCCAGCGCAGCCGAGCGGCCCCCTAGTGCGGCCTGCAGTGTCCTCTCCCTCCAGGCCCCTTACCCCCTCACCCATCCAGGACCGGCCCCCAGTCCAGCCCATCCTCAAGGACCTGCCAGAGGTCTCCAAGGCTGGGTTCCCACGGGTCTACCGGGGCCTGGGGGAAAGCCCTCTCCGTCGCCCTGTTGGACTTTGCCAACATGGCGTTAGCCTGGCTGCGCTGCAGCATAACCGACCACCGCTGTCGGTAGTGCGCGGTCAGTTTGGAGGCCACCGTGGTTAGCCTCCCCTGCCTGTGTTTTTTCCGTGCGGCCTGTGTGCCCAGGAGGCGGAGGAACCTCTGGGTGTCCTGCGCTAGGTCCCCATAGGTTTCCACCGCTAGCCCGAATACCCCTACAAAGTCGGGGCGTCCTTCGTACAGTCCCCTTTTCGTCCTTGCAGCTTCCTCCGCCGCCCATCCCGGCCCCCTAGTGGCCCCCAAGTCCCGCCGCTGCAGCACCGGGTCCGTGACCGTGACGTCTGTGACGAACGTTTCAGCCGACTCCCGATCTTTGGTTGGACTTGGCCGTTTCAGTCTTACTCTCTCTCTAATGGTCCTTGTATTGATATAACCGCGGAATACAAGCATGCAAGTCATAGAAACAAACAAACACAGCCACAGGTCCTACCAACTACCACTCTAGAGCTCTAGGAAGGGTTCGACCACTGCAAAGCAGTCCCCAAGGTTCAACTCCTGCCCGATACCGCCTACAGGCGGGTTCTCTGCTATCGCTGCCTCCCCCAGCTTGAGTAGCAGGCCCACGGATTGGGCTCTCTGCAGGGCCACTGACCATCTCTGTCTGAACTGGTGCAGAAACTTGGCGGCATGAAATGATTTGGTGTCGGCGTTGAAGTGGCGCCGAGCCGCTGTGTCTGCTAAAAGTTTCAGAAAGACCGGTACCTCGGCGCAGGGACAGCCATAGGTTTCCACGGCCAGAGGGAAGAAGCTAACTGTCTCCGGCCTGCTGGCGTAATGCTGTATCTTTTTGTCAGCCTGCTCCCGTGCCGCCCATCCCCTTCCTTTCAGCGCCTCGGGATCCCTTGTGCTGATGGGGTCAGTGATGGTGACGTCGCACACATAGACCGCCCCGCTGCTCCTATCGGTCATAGTGAAATCTGCCGTCTGTTCATCGATGGGGCAGTGGGCGGCCGACTCGCTGTGCACGATAAACCCCGCGTCCTGCGCCATGCTAGTGCATGCGTCCCGTAGTTCGTTGTGGGTGTTGATGCGGTGCTTTCCTGTGCCGCAGTGGAGGAGATGATTTGGTAGGCGGGGGTCGGTGATTTCTGTGTGGTCAGAGCAGTCGCACTTCTTCGGCGTTGAGAACGGGAGGCCAAGCCGAAAGCGCACGGCGTTGGCGAAGTGCACGGGTCCTACACGTCTGTTTGGGGCAATGGGGATAGCGGTTAGCCAGTCACCGGTTCCGTAACCTGTCAGGGAGAACATCCTCTGCGTATGGCCTGAGAGGGGGTTCGGCTTCATGTTCCTCGTGCACTGGACCTGCACGGCATATCTGCTACCGTGGACCTTCAAACCAAGCACATGCTGGAGCCTTATGTCCGAGGGTGACAGCCGCTCCTTCTCTAGAATCTCCCTCGCGTCCCCTGGCAACGCCGCTTCGCACTCGGTAAGCCATGTGTGCAGTGGCGTCGTATCGTCCCGTGGCAAGAGCATGTGGTTCCTCGCCTGAGTCAATGCATTCTCTGGGTCTAGCTCAAGGGAGGAGAGGAAGAGCGCAGCCTGGAGGAAACTCGCCGTAAAGCCGTATACCCCTTCCACTAAGGGGTCCGTGATGCCGATGCCACCTAGTGACGGAGGTAGGAAGGCCTGCGCCCAGACGCGCGCTTGTTCGGCTCTGCCCGTTGGAACGCGGATACCACATGATACCAGCAGCGCCGTTAGCAGGTCCTGTCCCCACTGACTCCAGCTGTCTCGGGGGAGTAGGTGGAGTGGCGTCGTTCTGATGAGGTAAGCCACACGCCTGGAGATGCAGCGCGTGACTAAGAGCGACGCTACCTGGGGGTCAGCTTGTTCCAGGAGAGGCAGCGGCCTCGCCATCTCTTCCAGCTGTCCGGACAAAAATCTGGCCGCCCCCGAGTCGGGCCCCAGGTAACTGCCCAGGAGCCGCACCCCATCTGCTGAATACGGCACGCCTGGCGGAAGTGTTGTCTGATCAACCGTGTGCGAGCTCCAGGCCACGCACTTCTGTGGGCTGTGCCTCAGTCCCAGGCATGCCAGTTTGTCTGTGAAGAACGAAAAAGTTGCAACAGTTCGAGCAGTTTCCCCAAGGAAAGTGACGTCATCCGCGTAAGCCATGCAGAGTACATCCGGATGTGCCTGCTGTTTCTCGAAGTGTGGGGTGTATTCCCGCCGCAAACAGGAGTGGTCCAAGTGGGTCGCCCTGGCGAACCCCGCGTTCGCTTTTTAAAGGTACGCTGTTGAAGTTTGCATCCAGGTACAGCAGCGACGGGTTACCGTAGGTCAGCTTGACTAACGGGAGCAGTGGCGAAAGGCTGGGGTCGTGTAACGTACTGGCGATGGCTTGTCGTGAAATACTGTTGAATGCGTTGGAGATGTCCGTTTGCAGTATCAGACTGTTGGGACGGGCGTCCAAAAATGCACGGGCAGCGTGGATGACCGCCTCCGCCCCCCCCCCCCCGGCACAGCCACCCCGTATTGAAGTGGTAGAAAGTACTCGCGGGCAGATTCTCCCATGACTGTCAGGGCAGCCTTGGCAGCAAGCCTGGTCAGGCATTCGCCTATTGCGATTGGCCGAGCGCCTCCACCCGGTTTGGCCAAAGCAACGAGCCGCGACGCCGTCAGCAGGTCTGCCACCGCGCCTGGTAAATTTCCTCCCAGCACTGTATTTACCAAAGCGTGCAGATGGGTGCTGACAAGTGCGTTGGTGACTGCCGCGTCGCGCAGGTGCTCGAATGTCGTGCCAGACGGCCCAGCCCCCACTCCATTGTCGCATCTTCCCAGCATTTTAGCAAATTCAGCGTGGGTGATGGTCAACTTCGACCCACGTGTGTCAGGCCAGGTTGTCGTCGCGTGTACAGCTGGCGGATGTTTTTGGCGAAGTTCGTCCATGATTTCTGGACTAGGTGTGCACACAGGAGTTGACTCCAGCGCCAACACTGCGCGTCGGAGACTGCCGCGTTTCGCCAGGCCCTCGGCTCGGCTGATGACTCCAGTCATGTCTGGCTGGTGACGGGGCGGTGGAGGGGTGTTGATTGCCTCGACCGCGTCTTGGTACAGCTGCTCCCATTCGCCACGCTGGAAGGCTCGGAGCCGAGCCTTGATCTGGGGCCAGTTCGGGCGTCGGGATGAGGTTTGGCGCAGTGTCAGGCGTGGGAGAAAAAGCAGCAGGCGCCAACCCGTTTCGGATTCCGGGTTTCGCGACAGATGGAGTAACGGGGTCAATATTGCCAGCGAGAACAGCTGGCACAGATTGGGCGGTAAACGTCGTGCCAGGGTAGGTTGTCGACTGTCGCTTAGTGATGAAATTTCCCAGTTCGCGATGTCGGCGAACAAGTTCGCACGCTTCGCCAGTTCGTCAGCTGAAAAATAGCGGGGGTTTGGAGGGGTCTGTCTGGCCGCTGAATTTGCATTCGCGCTTCGATTTCGTTGTGCGCGGCTCGTCCCCCTGGACGAGGCGCCGGTTGGATTTACGGCCGTTTGATCGACATCCGACGGTCCCTGGTCTGCTTTGTGGCGTTGCCCCGGCTCCTCTCTTACTCCCCCCACCGTCTCTCACATCCTGTCTTCTCCCTCCCCTTCGCTATCTTCGCTAGCTGGGAGAGTCTCTTCACTATATGTAGGGTCTGCATTTTCATCGGCCTCATTAGCTCTCTCCAGCGCTGTTAAAGCCCTTCGTCCCGCTGCCTGGTAACCGTTCTCCGGACCGCCCGCCATCCCGCTAGCCGTCTGTCTCCTCACTTCGCGGTCTCTTTGCTCTCGCGATGGTGATTGCTGGTGCTGACGAGCCGTCGCCAGAGCTCGCTGCCTCCTGGTCGGCTGTGGTCGCCAAGCCCCCGTCGGAACCTGAAGAGGCGACCATGGCGATGAAGCCCCCTCGCCCTCCAGCTCCGAAGCTCGCGTCAGCAGCCTCTGAAATGCCTCTTCCCCTCGCACCCGATGCTCCTGCTGCTGTGACTGCCCTTGTCCAGTCTGCGCTTGTTGCGGCTCCCCCCCTTCCAGGCTGCTGCTCCTGCTCCGCCGGCTGATTCTGCTGCACCACCGGGACCTGCGCTTGCTGGCGCGGTTGCTGATCCCCCGATTCCCGTCTCTGGCGCGCACGTTGCGCCGTCCGTTTCTGCCCCCGCCGAGCCTGCTCCGGAGTCTGCTTTGCCGCCAAAGGCGGAGTCCGCCACCACTGGCGCCCCGGCTCCGTTGGTTTCGCCCGCTGTGGCGCCAGCTGGTGCGCCGGCGGCCCCGGCAGCTCAGCCGCCGCGCCCCCCGTCACCTGACCGTCGACTGTCTCGGCCCCATTCCCCCGCGCCCCAGCAGGAGCGTAGGTCGTCTCGCCGCCGGCGTGACTCACCGCGGCGTTACCAGCAGCAGGCGCACTGGCCTGCGCACCCTGGCGGCCAGGGGGACTGGAGGGGTCCCCGCGGGCGCGGCGGTGGTGGGGGGTATCGTCCGCCTGTGACGATGGCGGATCTTCAGCGGGAAGTGTCGAGGGCTGTTCGTGAGGAGAGGGCAGCGCAGAGCCAGAGTAGTTCGCTGCGCGCATCGCCGGCCCGCGAGGCCCCTCGTTCGGCTGCGCTCCTCCTGAATCCGCAGCCGGTTGCTGCGCCTCCCCCTCAGATCCAAGCGCCGCCAGCTCCTTCTCCCGCGGTAACGGCACCTGCTCCTGGCTCTCGTCTCCATCTGCCGCCTGTTCCGCCCGTTGCGGGAGTGGAATTTGTAGCCGCGGGTGGCGGTTCGTTGGTGGCACCGTTTGCTCTCCCAGTTGGTGCAGAGGAGCCGTTCCAGTTCCTGGCGGAGGCCCTCCAGCCTCCGCAGACACGTGTTCCCGAGGCGACCCTCGGACAGCTCCACCGCCTTGCTGACAGTCTCCACGCGCTGTTGCTGATTCTGGTGCTGGCCCACTCGTCTCTCCCTGTGATCCCTCCTGAGACCTTCCGTGCTCGCCAACGTGACCCTTGCCTGGACGCGGCGGACCAGCTCGCGGTGCTGCTGGCGCCCGTGTTGGTTGCGCCCGCGGAGGGTGGCGCTGCTGCTGCGGGACAGCTTGACGAAGCCGTCCGGGGCTTGAGGAGGCACCTGCGCGCAGGATCTGGAGCCGCGGCGATCGGCGCAAGCACGCTAGTGGTCCGGGAGCTGTGGCGCTCCCTGACGGGCATTCTTCACGCCCTCGGAGCTCACCGCATGTAGATGCGGGCTCCGGTTGCCCCATTGTGGTCATGTGTGTCTAATGGGCAGTAGGATCCGCCATTGAGTGTATGTCCTTGCTTATTATAAATCGCTTGTGTTTGCACTTGCCGCCACACAATGAAGAAGAGAGGCCAAGAAGGCCCCTTATATAGCTAGAAGGCCAACGGCAGAGGGCTGAGGGCAGAGGGCAGAGGGCAGAGGCTAGGGTCCTCTCTCTCTCTCTCTCTCGCTCTCTCGAACGAGCGAAAATTTTACTGCCGCCACACAATGAAGAAGAGAGGCCAATATAGCTAGAAGGCCAACGGCAGAGGGCTGAGGGCAGAGGGCAGAGGCTAGGGTCCTCTCTCTCTCTCTCTCTCTCTCTCTCTCTCTCTCTCTCTCTCTCTCTCTCTCTCTCTCTCTCTCTCAAGCAGTCCTGCATTGATGTGTTGCAAAGGTACAAGCAAGGCAGCGGCAGTCCTAGCAAGCAAGTTAACCTAGGCATGCAGAGATAACAACCGACTTAATCACAGGCATGGCATCCGCTGTACTAGGCTGCAAGGCGACCACACTCAGCCTTGGGGCAAGACCACTGCTGGCCTGCTCAGACCTTCACCAGAGCCTGCATCCCCTCCTGCCTAGTCCAGCCGAGGGCGGTCTCATGCGGTTGAGCCAGCCCAACTGCAGTCGGCCCGGCCCTTTACTCCCCTAGGTCGAGTAGTTGGGCCATGTCGTCCTCGAGGACCTGCCAGAGGTCCCCGAGGCTTGGTTCCCACGGGTCAGCTGCTGCCTGGGGGTGTGCCGCCTCGAGTGCCCTGTTGGACTTGGCCATCAGGGCATTCGCTTGGCAGCGCTGGAGCATGACCGACCACCTCTGTCGGTAATGCGCCGTGATCCGAGAGGCCACGGCAGGAAGTCTCCCCTGCCGGTGCTTCTTCTTTGCTGCCTGTGTGCCCAGGAGGCGTAGGAACCGCTGGGTATCCTTAGCCAGTGCCCCGTAGGTCTCCACCGCCAAACCGAACACCCCTACAAAGCCGGGGCGCCCCTCGTACAGGCCCCGCTTCACCCTGGCCGCGTCCTCCGCCGCCCAACCTGGTGCTTTGACTGCCCTCTTGTCGCGTCGCTGCAGGACAGGATCAGTGACCGTCACGTCCGTGACGTATGTCTCGTTGGACTCCTTGTCCCGAATCACCAGGTCCGCTCGCTTTTGGTTAGTGATAGGCGAGAAGGCCGCTGACTCGTGTAGGGTAGTGTAGTCCGCTTCCTGAGCCATACGCAGCGCCGCATACACCAGGGCGTTGTGGGTGTTTGTTCTGTCCCCTCCGTCGGCACACCGCAGCAGGTGGTTCGGTAGGCTCCTATCTGTGATGTCCGACCGCTTGCCCTTGCAGGGGCACTTCTCCGTCACGGCCAGGGGCAGTCCCAACCGAAACCCAAGCGCAACTGCAAACTGGCCTGGTGAGAAAGTGAGGTCTCCTCTCGTGGGGATGGCGTGCAGCCAGTCCCCCGCCCCCACCCCCTGTAAACTGATGAGGCGGATCACGTGGCCGTTGTCCACACCGGGCTTGTCCTTCCTTGTGTCGCCCACCAATTCCGCTGCCCTGTCCTGGTTGATGTGCCTCGATAGAAGTAGCTGTAGGTGCCCTTTCCCGTCCCCCTCTCAGGGCGGGCATCCAGGAATGCTCTGGCCGCATGGATCACAGGTGGGTGGGTGGGGTGGGTCCCGTCTCTCTCTCTCTCTCTCTCTCTCTCTCTCTCTCTCTCTCTCTCTCTCTCTCTCTCTCTCTCTCTCTCTCTCTCTCTCCCTCTCTCTCTCTCTCTCTCTCTCTCTCTCTCTCTCTCTCAAGCAGTCATGTATTGATATGGGTCACAAAGGTACAGGCATGGCAAGTGGTGGTAACTAGCAAGACTAAACATGGAAGTAACCAGGGAACCAGAACTAACATGCAAAACAGAGCAAGCCTGTCCAGCAGAAGCACACCGATCACCTAGCACCCAGAGCAGCCCGGTCCACAGCAGCACATGTCACTGAGACAACCCCACATTCCACCCATCCCTTGTACCTCCCATACCATAGGACCACCCCGTATCCTCCTTCCCCCCGATGCTTCCCCACACCTTCCCTGAGACGGCCTCCATTTCCTTGTCCCCCCTGGAACCTCCATCTCTCTCTCTCTCTCTCTCTCTCTCTCTCTCTCTCTCTCTCTCTCTCTCTCTCTCTCTCTCTCTAATGGTCCGTATATTGATGGAGTTGGAAGGTACAGACATGCAAGATATGGAATGCGAGGTCTAGCTAACCAAACAAACAAACAAGACCAACCAGTCACACAACTACCACACCACCGCCCTCTCTAGAGCTCCAGAAGAGGCTCAACTACCGCGAAGCAGTCCCCAAGGTGCAGCTCCTGCCCTATGCCACCCACAGGTGGGTTTTCTGCCGCCGCTGCCTCGCCCAAATTAAGGAGGAGTCCCACGGATTGTGCTCTCTGCAGGGCCACCGACCACCGTTGCCTGAATTGGTGCAGAAACTTGGCGGCGTAGTAGGATTTTGAGTCGGCGTTGAAGTGGCGCCGAGCCGCTGTGTCTTCCAGGAGCTTGAGGAAGATAGGTACCTCGGTGCAAGGACAGCCGTAGGTGTCGACTGCTAGGGGGAAGAAGCCAACCGTCTTGGGGCGGTTGGCGTAATGCTTGATTTTCTTGTCGGCCTGCTCACGTGCCACCCATCCCCTGCCCTTCTGTGCTTCCGGGTCCCTAGTGCTGATAGGGTCAGTGATGGTAACGTCGCAGATGTAAACCGCCCCACTGCTTCTATCGCTCATGGTGAAGTCGGCGGTTTGCTCCTCGATAGGGCAGTAGGCCGCTGACTCCCTATGTACTATAAACCCCGCGTCTTGCGCCATGCTAACGCAGGCGTCTCGCAGCTCGTTGTGCGTGTTCGTGCGATGCTTGCCTGTGCCGCAGCGGAGCAGGTGGTTCGGGAGGCGGGGGTCAATGATAGCCGTGTGTTCCGCGCAGTCACAGTTTTTGGGAGTGGAAAACGGTAGGCCAAGCCGGAAGCGTACAGCGTTGGCAAAGTGCACTGGCCCTATCCGCCTTGTGGGAGCGATGGGAATCGCGGTGAGCCAATCGCCTGTGCCGTAGCCAGTGAGTGAAAACATCCGCTGCGTGTGACCCGCAAGCGGATTCGGCTTTATACGCCTCGTCGCCCGCACCTTGACTGCGTATCTGCTTCCGTGGACCTTGAGTCCTAGCACATGCTGGAGCCGGATGTCAGATCGCTCGAGCCGCTCCTTCTCCAGTATCTCCCGAGCATCTAACAGCAGTGCCTCCTCGCACTCGGTCAGCCAGGTGTGTAGCGGTGTGCTGTCAACTGGCGGCAGTAGCATATGGTTTCGTGCTAGTGCGAGAGCGTTATCCTGTGCTAGCGGTAGAGAGCTGATATAGAGCGCCGCCTATGTAAAGCTTGCTGTGAAGCCTCTCAACTAGTGGGTCAGTGATGCACAGGCCTCCTAACGATGGCGGCAGCGACGCTTGTCGGTTCGACAGGTCGGGACGCGGATATTGCACGAAGTGAGGAGCGTGGTGAGCAGATCCCTACCCCACTGGCTCCATTTGTCACAGGGGAGGAGATGGAGTGGTGTCGTCCTGGTGAGGTATGCAACTCGTCGCGAAATGCATCGTGTGAGTAGCAGTGCTGCAACCTGGGGGTCTGCTCGCTCGAGTAGGGGTAGGGGCTTTGACATCTCGGCGAGTTGTCCCGCTAGGAACTGAGCTGCGCCGCTTTCCGGCCCCACGAAGCTACCCAGCAGCCGCACGCCATCTTTAGAGAAAGGTACTCCTGGCGGAAGGTAAGCTGTGTCGATCGCGCTTGAACTCCAGGCCGCACATTTCTGTGGGTTATGCTCAAGGCCCAGGTGCGCCAACTTGGCCGTGAAGTGTTTGAATGCAGCTACAGTGCGGGATGTGTCACCCAGGAAGGTGACATCGTCCGCATACGCCAAGCACAGCACGTCAGGGTGTGCTTCGGCTGTTTCGCGAAGTGTGGCGTGTATCCCTGCTGCAAACAGTAGCGGCCCAAGTGGATCAACTTGGCGCACGCCGCGTTCATTTGTTAGTGGTTTGTTGTTGAAGTTCGAATCTAGTAGTAGTTGCGACGGGTTACCGTATGTCAGTTTCACGAGCGGCAGCAGTGGCGAGAGGGCGGGTTCGTGTAACGCGTCGGCGATGGCCGTTCGCGAAATGCTGTTGAACGCATTTGAAATGTCGGCTTGTAGGACCAGGCTGTCTGGGCGGGCATCCGCGAAAGCCCTGGCTGCGTGGATTACTGCTTCTGCTCCACCTAGAACTGCCACCCCGTACTGCAGCGGTAGGAAGAAATCGCGGGCCGGTTCTCCCATGATTAACAAGGCAGCCTTCGCTGCCAGCCTCGTCAGGCATTCGCCGATTGCGATTGGCCTAGCCCCTCCCCCTGGCTTGGCGAGGGCTATGAGTCGCGACGCCGTCAGCAGGTTTGCAACCAAGCCTGGCAATTTCCCTCCCAGCATAGTGTTGACCAAGGCGTGCAGATGGGTGCTGACCATTGCGTTGGTGATCGCCGCATCGCGCTGGTGCTCGAATGTCATCCCTGACGGTCCGGCTCCGACACCATTCTCGCATCGTCCCAACATTTTTGCGAAGTCAGGGTGGGGGGTTGACAGCTTTGACCCCTGTGGCTCTGGCCACGTCACTGCCTTGTCTGCAGCAGGTGGGTGCTTTCGGCGTAGCTCCTCCAATATTTCCGGGCTGGGTGTGCAGACGGGCGTTGACTCCAGGGCCAGCACGGCTCGGCGCAGACTGCCACGTTTCGCTAGGCTCTCCGCACGGCTGATGACACCCGTCGCATCTGGCTGATGTCGTGGCGGGGGCGGTGTGTTGACTGCGTTCAACGCGTCCTGGTACAGCTGATCCCAATCGCCACGCTGGAAAGCTCAGAGCCGACCCTTGACACTTGGCCAGTTCGGACGTTGTGGCGAGGTCTGGCGAAGTGTCAGGCGTGGGAGAGACAGCAGCAGGCGCCATCCCGTTTCCGAATCAGGGTTTCGTGACAGGTGGTGTAACGGTATCAGTAGCGCAAGCGAAAAAAACTGACATAGGTTTGGCGGTAAATGCCGTGACGGTGGAGGCTGACGACTGTCGCATAGTGCTGCAATGTCCCAATTAGCGATGGCTGCAAACAGGTCTGTCCGCTTCGCTAGCTCGTCTGGTGAAAAGTAGCGAGGAATTGATGCTGATGGGCGCGTCGCGGTACCGGCATTGGCGGTTCGATTTCTCCAAGCGCGGCTCGACCTCATTGGTGGGCTCGAGGTTGGGTTTGCATTCGTCCGATCGGCATCGGACGGTGGTCGAGCCATCCGTGGCACTTGCGAGTCTGCGTGCCCCACTACCACTTCCCTTCTCCTTGGTCCTTCTCTCGCCATGCCTTCATCCTCCGTCTCCTCGTCCTCGCTCTCGGGAAGGGCCTCTTCCCTATAAGATGGGTCCTCTAGCTCGTCTTCGTCATTAGTTTCCTCCTCGTTGTTTAAAGCCGTTCGTGCCGCCGCCTGATACCCGTTCTCCGGTCCTCTGCCTGTTCCGCTTGCAGTTTGTCTCCTCGCCCTGCGGCTTCCCTGCTCCAGGGATGGTGATTGCCGGTGCACCTGAGCCGTCGCCAGAGCTCGTTGCCGCCTGGTCGGCTGCGGCCGCCAAGCCTCCGGCGGAGCCCGAAAGGGCGATTATGGCGACGAAGCCGCCTCTACCGCCGGCTCCGAAACCCGTGACAACAGTATTTGAAAAGACTCCTCCCCACGCACTCGCGGCTCCCCTTGCCGGGTCGGTGGCTGGCCCGTCTGCTCCTGCTGCTGTTCCGTCTGCTCCGCCTGCGGCCCCTGGCCCCCTGGCTCCCCTTGTCGAGCCGTTGGCGTCTACCCCTGCTGGGGGTGTTGCGGATCCCCCCGCACCTGTTCCTGACGCCCCAGTTGCACCGCCCACTTCTGTCCCCGGCGTGCCTGCTCCGGCCTCTGCTTCGTCACCGAAGGCAGCGTCCGCCACCACTGGCGGACCGGCTCCGTTGGTTGCGCCCTCGGCGGCGGGTCAGTCCGCACCTGCTGTGACGCCGATGGCCCCGGCAGGGCAGCCATCACGCCCTCCGTCACCCGACCGTCGCTCGTCGCGCCCCCATTCCCCCGCGCCCCAACAGGAGCGCAAGTCGTCTCGTCGCCGGCGCGAGTCTCCACGGCGATACCAGCAACAGTCGCACTGGCCTGCTCACCCCGGAGGTCAGGGGGATTGGAGGGGTCCCCGTGCTCGCGGCGGGGGTGGGGGGTACCGCCCGCCCGTAACGATGGCGGATGCTCAGCGGGAAGTGTCGAGGGCGGTTCGTGAGGAGAGGGCGGCGCAGAGCCAGAGCAGTTCGATGCGCGCTCCGCCGGCCGACGAGGCTCCTCGTCCGGCTGTGCTCCCCGCGAGTCCGCAGCCTGTCGCTGCGCCTCCACCTCAGATCCATGTCTCGCCGGCTCGTTCTCCCGCTGTCTCGGCTCCTGCTCCCGGCTCTCGTCTCCATCTGCCACCGGTTCCTCCCGTTGCGGGAGTGGAGTTTGTGGCCGCGGGTGGTGGCGCGGCGGCGGCTCCGAATGCACTTCAAGTTGCCGCCGATGAGCCGCTCCAGTTCCTGGCGGAGGCACTCCAGCCCCCGCAGACCCGTGTTCCCGAGGCGACTCTCGGACAGCTCCATCGCCTCGCTGATAGTCTCCACGCGCTGCTGCTGATTCAGGTGCTAGCCCACTCGTCTCTCCCTGTGATCCCTCCTGAGACCTTCTGTGGCCGCCAGCGTGACACTTGCCTGGACGCGGCGGACCAGCTCGCAGTGCTGCTGGCGCCCGTGCTGGCTGCGACCGCGGAGGGTGGCGCTGCTGCTGCGGGACAGCTTGACGAGGCTGTCCGGGGCTTGAGGCGGCACTTGCGCGCAGGATCTGGAGCCGCGGCGATCGGCGCAAACACGCTTGTGGTCCGGGAGCTGTGGCGCTCCCTGACGGGCGTTCTTCATGTTGTGTGATGCAATCATATGCATTCACGTCTGTCTGCCTCCCATCATGTGTTCGTGCGCTGCATGCGTGGTGTGAGCGTGTGCAAGAATTTGTGTTTCGTGCGGTTTGGTTTTTCTGAGTGTGTGTGAATGTTATTTGGCTTGAGCAGATATCTGAAGTGACTCCTCTGCTCAAGAGCTTTCCGACGAACCAAGTATCGCTTCAATCGGAGCACGAACAAGAAAGTTACGAACGTTGGAGTTCGTATGCTTTTCATATTTGATTGTGGCAACTGTGGGAAGTTGTGGGGTTGACTCAATATGGGGTACAGACTTTTGGGGGTTGGGAAATTCGTCTTTTCTACTGTAGTTGCTGCCAAATGGTTGGGAGAAACCAAACCAGGTTGGCAAGTGTGGCCAAGTTGGGTTGAGGTGGATTGTGGAGGCTGGGATAGTGACAAAGGTCAAAGTTGGGTTGCCTATGGGGAAGGGAATTGTGTGGCATGGGGTTTCCTTGGTTGGGGACTCTCTTGGGACCTTCCCTCTCGTCTTCCTCATCCCTTCCACCTGGTTTAGTGCTACTCTGATTCTCTTGTGTGAACTATTGTGAGACTCTTGTGATTGAGTTAAGATTCTATGGTAGCATACCCCCTAGTGCGCCGAAATTGATAAGTCAAGAAATACTTCACCTTATCCTACGATTCAAATTGGGAATTGTAGCCACAGACTAGGGCTACAACATATCTGAGTTTGGTGAAGTTTTGACGGTGCGTTTTTTGTCGACGGCATTTCTTGTGAGCGCGACGATTCTGTCCAGAAATTGAGTCCAGCGATTTTGTGATATTTCGGCCCCTAATCTTCGTAGACCTCGTCCTTCGTCTCTAGCAAGTGGTATCAGAGCTGATTAAGGACCTTGTGGGGAGTCTTCTAAAGTGTGAAGACCCTCCTAGACCCACCATGGCCTGTGGGCGTGCCTAAGTGGAGTTCTGGAGGATGCATTTGACTTCCGCTAAGGGGAAACTCTGCCGAAATTTCGTTGGCGCCGACACTTGTGAAGATTGTGTGGATCTACATTGTGACCAGCAAAGGGGGGAGCTGAAACCTCTGATTGGGAGCAGAGAAGATGAAACAAGGGAGTGGAGATGCAGCTGAGAAGAGGAGTGAACCGCCACCATCCAAGATCGAAGCTTTGGATGGCTCCAACTATGAGGAATGGAGCGGGCGGATGCGGAGCGCCTTCAAGCGCTACAAGCTGCTGAAAATTGCAATGGGAGAAGAGAAGATGCCGGGGGAAGGAGATGTACGACCTCATCCTCCAATCGGTCAACAACGACATGTTCCAGCACATTAAGGATTTGGTGGAGTTGGATGATTCCGGACCGAATGCATGGAAGCTGCTACGCGACGTGATTCAGCCGAACACGCTGCCGATGGTGATTGTGTTGGAGAAGGAGTTGGCTGCCCTCTCTATGAAACCGGGAGATGATGTGAAACCGGTCCTTGATAAGATCAAGGACACCTATGCGAGGATGGCAGCGGCGGGCAGCGAAGTGTCGCAAATGCAACAGTGCACCAAGATCATCTCGGTGCTCGACAACTCGTGGGACAACCTCATCCCCACCCTCAACGTTCAGCAGGACAAATGGACGCCTGAGTGGCTACGGCAGCAGATTCTGCAGGAGGACTTCCGCAGGCGCCACACGGGAGGTGGTGCTGCCAACAAAACTGCTGAGGGGTATGGAGCTGCAGGAGGCAGCAGAGGAAGAGGGGGAGGGAGAGGCCGAGGCCGTGGGAGAGGCTTTGGCAGAGGGAGAGGCCGAGGTGACTACAATGAGGGGCATGGGAGCTCTGGTGGCAGGGGGAGCACCCGAATGGAGGGTGCGTGCTGGTACTGCAAGAAGGTTGGACACCCATGGTTCAAGTGTTTCATCCGGCCTGAGGGATGGGCGCCTCCAGGCATGAAGCCGCCAAGTGGTGAACGCGCACGAGGTGGCGGTGTGCAAGGTTCAGGTGCACAAGGTGATGGTGCACAAGGTAAATTTGACCCTGGGATGTTCCTCATGGTTGAGGATGTGAAAGGAAGTGAGGGTGATGTGGGTTCTGTTGGGAAGGTTGTGATGCACCCCCTCACTCACTGGGTGATCGATTCAGGTTGCACAAGTCACATGACCCCACGGGCAGATTTGCTTGACGAGGTAAAACCCCCTGGGAAGATAAAGTTTGTGGCTGCCGCTTCAGGTGCTTTGCTCCCTGTGATTGGTGTTGGGAATGCCAAGGTCATGGGAGCCAATGGGGGGCTTGTGGGGCTGGGGAATGTGCTGTTGGTTGAAGGTTTGTCCGCTAACCTCCTCTCTGTGCGCCGGCTGCAGAAAAGCAAGGCCAAAGTGACTTTCGGCCCAACCAGCTGTCGTGCAAAGCTTGGGAAGTTGCTGCTGTGGGACTTGGAGGAGAAGAGCAGCTGCATCAAGGACCTGTGGCAGCTGCCCATCATCCCTTGGAATGGGAAACCACCAGCAACGGCAGCGGCTGCAGCAACGGCTAAGGTAGCTGCAGGGGGAGAGAAGACTGCACCAACTGCTAGGGCCCTGGATGCAGTCAAGAAGGTGCAGCAGTCACAGCAGCCACATGGTGAGGTGCTTGCTGGTGTGGATGCGACAGCTGCATGGGCAAAGGCTTCATCTGGGAGTGGTGAGGCCGATTGGGAGACATGGCACGAGAGGCTGTGTCATGTGAACTTTCCTATGCTGCAGAAGTTGGTTAAGGATGGGAGCTTGAAGGGGTTGGAGGTGAAGGGGGCAGCGAAGGAGATTGGGAGCTGCCCTACATGCCTTGAGACCAAGTTCACGAAATTTCCCTTCAGCAGCAGCACGGGACCAGCCAAAACACCACTCGCGCTTGTGCACATGGATGTGGTGGGGCCTACGAGAGCCCTTTCTCTCTCGGGCAGCCGCTATTTCCTGACCATTGTGGACGACCATACGCGTGCGGTGTGGGTGTACCCTCTCAAGACGAAGGGGGAGGTGGCAGCGGCTGTTCTCAAGGAGTGGATGCCGAGAGCTCAAAGGGAGAGCGGTCATAAGGTGAAGGTGATCCGCACCGACAACGGAGGGGAATTCATTGGCGCTGATTTTGAGGCGGTGCTGAAGAAGAAGGGGATCCAGCATCACCTCACAGTGCCCTACAACCCTCAGCAGAACGGCGTGGCTGAGCGGTTCAACCGGACCCTGCAGGAAGGTGCTCGCACTCTCCTTGGGCGTGTAGGGCTGCCGGATCCGTTTTGGGTGACTGCACTGCGGCAGGTCGCCCTTGTGAAGAACAGGGTGCTGGCGACTGTGGGGGACAAGCAGTGGGTCCCCTACACCAAGTGGTATGGGAGTGCACCAGCAGTCAACATGCTGAGAGCCTTCAGGTGCATGGTGGTGTTTCATGTGCCTAAGGAGAAGAGGGGAAAGCTGGAAGCTTCTGGGAGATGGGGTGTGCACTTGGGGCTTGCTAAGGATCACAAGGGCTGGTTGATATGGGATTTGACCAGCCAGCAGCTGACTGTGTCAAGGGATGTGAAGTTCCTTGAATCCTTGTACTATAAGGAGTGGAAGCAGCAGCAGCAGAAGCTTCCTACTACACCGCTGATCATTGAGGCCGATGAGGTGCAGCGGCCTTCGAGACAAGTGCAGGTCACTGTCTGAGGAGGAGATCTCTGGGGTGACTGAGGATGGGGGAGAACCTGAGGTGGAGGAGCAGCAGCAGCAGCAAGGTGCTCCACAAGGTGCCGCACGTCCGGCTGACCGTCCTAGGAGGGATGTGCGCCCTCCTAACCGGCTGACCTATCCGAGCTTTGGCAAGCCAAAGGTGGTAAGGGCTGGGAGTGTGGCTGAGCAGTGTGATGAGGATGAGATAGCACACTGCTACTGGGCAGCCGTTCCTGAGCCCAAGACGCTAGCTGAAGCATTGAGCGGGCCGGATGCTGAAAAATGGAAGCAGAGTGTGAAGGAGGAGTATGACTCTCTGCTCGAGAACGAGACGTAGGAGCTGTGTGAGCTGCCACCTGGGAAGAAGGCCATCTCTTCCAAGCTGATCTTCAGGCATAAGTACGGACCAGATGGCGAGCTAACCCGCTACAAGTCAAGGCTTGTGGCTAAGGGGTTTCAGCAGACAAAGGGGAAGGATTTTGACGAGATCTTTGCTCCTGTAGGGAAAGGCACAACATTGAAAGTGTCACTGGCAATGGCAGCAAACCGTGGATGGCGGGTGAAGCAGATGGACATCACCACCGCCTTCCTCAATGGGATCATTCTGGAGGAGCTGTACATGTTACAGCCTGAGGGTTTGGATGATGGGAGCGGCAGGGTGTGCAGGCTGAAGAAGGCCATCTATGGCCTGAAGCAGGCTCCTCGTGCATGGTACCACAAGCTAGAGGAGACACTGCTGGCTGGGGGGTTCAAGAAGAGTGAGTGTGACCACAGCCTGTTCCTGCTACAAGAGAAGGAGCAGTTTCTCATGCTCCTGGTGTATGTGGACGACATCCTGCTCTTCTCTGAGTCGTCTGCAATGATTGAGCGTGTGGAGGAGATGCTGGAGATGCAGTTCAAGTGTTCCAAGATGGGAGAAGTGAAGTACTACCTGGGGATGCATGTGGAGAGGGACCTTGACAAGGGAGTGTTGAGGTTGCACCAGAGGAAGTACTGTGAGGGGCTGGCCGAGAAGTATGGGCTGCAAAATGGAGGGAAGCCAGCCACCCCACTGCCTTCAGGGTTCACAGTGGAGCCCTGTGCTGATGAGGAGGTGGTGGGTGAGAGTGACAGTAAGCTGTTTCATTCCATGGTGGGGGCACTCAATTATGCGGCTAACCACACGCGGCCTGACATTGCCTTTGCTACATCCAGGCTTGCAAGTGTGGTTGCACGCCCCAGTCATGAGCAGCTAGAAGCGGCCAAGAGGTTGGTCCGCTATGTGAGCGCTACGGCATCAATGGGCTTGGAGTACAGTGCTGTGCGACAGAGGCTGCAGAGAGGTGCAGCTGATTTGGTCAA